TGGTCGTTGAGCCTATTTCTCCTGATCCTAATCTTAATGCCAGCCTATCAGTGGAAGTTTTTGGGGATGATGTTTTGGTTCCTTTACCGTCTGTCACTTTGAGGGTTTTGGCTTCTCCTTTGGGCCCGTCTCATTATGCTCCCCTGGTTGGTGTTAGGCATTGTGATACTAATTTAAAGGCTAGTTTTTCTTGTGTGGATGCTGCGCCTGACCTGATCGAATTGTCTGGGGAGGTGGATTCTGGGGTGCCTGCTATCCCGAGGTTGGTTGGTGTGTATTCCCCTACCCAGTCTTTTGCCCACAATAATGTGGTCTTGCCTCTGTCCATGGGTAATTCAGGAAGTTCAGCTAATTTTATTAATGTTCCGATCACCATTATGTCTGCTAGAGAATTGAAGTCTCAGCTGGCTAAATCTGTCAAAAATTCTATTTTTGTGCAAAATGAGACTGATTCCTCTTCGTTTGATGGGGAGGAAGATGAGGTTTTTGGCGATTGTGAGGAGGTTGTGTCCGTTAAGCTTGTTGACCCTAGTCGCTCTAATGGTGATAATAAACATAAGAGTAAAGGTAAAAAGAAATAGGCTATGCCTTTGGTTTTCAGCGATGGTTTTTGATGGCTTTGTGGACAATGATGAGGAAGCCCCCAGCTTCCCCTTGCTGACTTGGCTGGTTGGCAACTGAGGTGATTTAGGCTTGTGTTTGGATTGCTTGGAGGTGTGGAATTGGTGGATTTCTCACCTATGGATGGTCCGTGGTTGGTCGCGTGGATGGTGCAGGGGGCTTCCATTCCTGAGTCCGATTTCGAGCTATTTCACTCTCAGTGTTTTGCCTCGTTCTATTTGTTTTTAGTCCTTTTCTATGTTGTTGCATTGGCTGGGGGCCTTGGACTGTAATTTTGTTATGTTTGAATAAATGGTTTACTTTTGTGGTTAAAAAAAAAAGAAAAAAAAAAACTATCGCTAACATCCTCTAATACTCCATCATACATGTCATATCCATAATTTCAACACAAGTTTGACATACACATTTTAATTTAATGTGCAACAAACCGATTCTATTGATGCTATAGATCATATGCCATCTTAAAAATATATATCTTGTGATGATCATTCAATTTATCTTTAAATCTTTTTAGCATAAAACTAAATTAGTTCTTCAACATTACTCTAATTCATTTATAACTCAAAAGTTTGCTTTGCCGCTAATTACCATAATCCTGAGCTTTCGTTTTATTTTTTAATGTCAGTACCAAAATGCTTATTCTCTAATCATATGAGATCACCCAAGTCTTCAAAATTCAATTAAAAAATCCTGAGCTTTCGTTTTATTTTTTAGATTAGTTCCAAAAACATCTAATCTACTTATCTTATTCACTATGCTATTCCAAAGGGATTATCTTCGTTAAAACTCAATAATTAATAGAGTGGCATTTTCCATCTTTGCTTGATATTTTGATCTTTCACTAAACTCTTATTATCATCACTTCAATGCAATAAACTTAATCAAATTATCTATAGCTATATCTCATCTTAGTAATTTATGTATTCTTCAATCTACTTCCTAAGTGATATATTATATATAAATCATTAAAAATAACAACTTTTGCATTTCTTATGACCCTCTTTGCAAGCTTGTAAGTATCAATAATACTCCTTTTTTGTCACTATTTAAAAACATATTATTTACAATAATAACCGTTTGTTCATCCTCATTCAATCGACAAATCATATTATATATGATCCACTTTAAGACTCTAGCAATATTTCTAAAGCAATCATGTAAAAAAAACTATCACCTTAGCACGCATCAAGTTTTCTCAACTATAGAAATATAATTTAAATATCTTAAAAACCTCTATTTAAAGAGAAGTAACGCCTAAAAATTTAAATTTAGCCACCTTATCCTAATACTCGAAGTAATTATTTCTTCAGTTCATTCTACCTAAATTTAAAGACATACATCCATAACGAATATATATGTGTGCACGTGCTCGCGTCTAAAAAGTTTATCATTATACTTAAATTTTGAGAATATTTACAAATACAATTGCTTGGTATAGGATTATTATGCTCAAAATGAGGTATAGGAATTATTATGCTCAAAAGGAATCTAGACAAATCTTACAATATCGCATATTCGTTTGACGACGGAAAATGTAATTTTATGGCTAAAAAGCTTTAGACTGAACTAAAACAGTTTTTCCCGCTGTCATGAGAAATAATAAGAAGCTGCTTGAAAAATCTCAAAAGAAATCATAAGCTCAACCTACAGTAGATGGAGAGTGGTAATGACGATAGCATTTTCATGGGTTCATTACTAATGCATAACTTCCATAGAAATAACTTGTTATACAAAAAAAAAAAAACCCTTTAACATACAGTAACAGCTAGACTATATTTGGTCTCAGATAGCTACTATTTGATGGAAATTTAAAATTACCTTTACAATTGATTAGACTCCAGATGAGGTGGTGGAGGATAAAACTGATAATTCCAATTGAATTTAATGAAAGAACCAGAAGGGGAAATACGAAAGATGGTTTACCAAAGCTGTTCCTAAGATCGGAACAGAAAATTTGATGGATTACAACTACTTGCTACTTGGTCTTACAGAAGAAGCAAAGAAAATATGAATGTACCTGGATAGCTCCAGTTTAAAATTTCTGATATCAATCTCTCATCTTGATTCCTGTCGTTTCTGTTTAGCCATATACAAAAAATAGTATGCCGGTTAAGTTTATACTTGCTGATGGGGATAACAAGCTTATTTTTCTACTTTCACCACAATAAAGAGTTTATCATACATAAATGCACAATGATATCTACTCCAATTTTTTGCCAGGGGTTTATGGGAGATTCTGCAAAATTTGAATCTATGAATGGTTTAACTGAATAATTTAGAGAGCCTCATCAGAAAAATAAAATTACTACATGGACACACTAAAATGATAAAGTTTGCCAGTATTTCGAGATATACATCCTTGTTAATAACATTATTTGATGGTATGGAAAATGGTCGCTGAAGGAAATATACTTCTATGTATCAGCCTTTTTAGACAGGAGCGTGTTCTACTTGCAAGGGTACACCTAAATAAACACACTTCTGGGAGAGTAAATGAAATAGAACCATTTTCAGCTTTATGCACATGACTGTTATATTTTATTTAATAAATTCATGTAAAGTCCCTAGACATTTCTAGAAATATTTGCATCATGGTTAGAACAAAATATACTTCCCTCTCCAAACAATGGAAAGCACGAGCATGGTAATCCAATTTTGCTTTATGATATAAGATGCCAAAGAATGGAAGCTGCATAAACATTCAATGCTATAGCTTAAATGGTCAGATAGGGAATACATGAAAAATTGATGTATTTCAAATATAAAAGATCCAAGATGATGAGCAACTGAAGCCACTTGGAAAATACATTAATATCCTTGCATTATATTAACAAAATAATTGAGGAGAATGATACCCCAATATAAAAAATAGAGAAAATGACTAAAATGATTTTTTGACTCTTTATGAAAGATCAAAATAGTCCCCAACTATGTTAAATGATCATTTTAGTCCTTCAACACCTAAAAGAGAAATCAAAATAGTCCCACTATGGGACTATTTTGATTTTAAAAAAAAAACTTAAAGGGACTAAAATAGTCCTTTAATACAATTGGAGATCATTTTGATCTTTTATAAAGAGTCAAGAGACCATTTTGATTCTTTTCTCATAAAAAAATTACAAAATATACATCTCATCAATCATGAAGTCTGACCAATGGCTCGTTCAGTACCCACTGGACAGCAAAAAAAAACTGAGCTCCAGATAGATTTACCACAATTCGTAAGTCTGCATATGGTGGTAAACGTTAACACTTGGTTAGTAGAGAAATGGAAACCACACTCAAATAACATGCACATTTCATACCATTCATATCTATCTCATCCAAAAGAAAAAGGGAGATGATCTGCAAAGCAAATATAAGGGCTGCAGAAACTCTATTCTAGTCAGTTCATGTATACTCGGGTTACCTTTTTATCAACAATATGACTTGAAAAATAATGCCTGCATGAAGTTTAACATAAATGCAGAGACAAAGGATATATATATATATATATATATATATATGGGGAAAAAATAGCACTTAAACAGTTCCATACTTTTACATCTAAATGGAGGAGACCTATAACAGCAATGAAAAAAAGATAAAATGTTTGCCGAAAGCATTTTCTACTGTAAATTCATATTGAATAACCCAAGAGAACAAAGTGTCTTGGAGAGTAAATTGATAAAAAACCTTCAGCAAAACCAAACCAAGGAAACTCCACAACTTCCCTGTACTACGGCATCAAGATCATAGAATGGGAATTTAAAAACTGTAAAATGTTATGCTACCCCAAGATTTGCAAGCTATTTTGGAACAGAGATGACAGTCTCATGCTACAGATGCTTCAAGAATGGTTTACTCTAAAAAGTCTTTAATAGGTTAGAGAAATCATTTTTTTTTTTGGATAGGAGGTGGAATCAAGAAAACCAATTGAAGTCCCTTTATGTTGGCACTTGCCAGTAATTCTATGAAAGCAATGTGGCAAGGTTCTTCACTAGAATAATTGAGATCCGTAGGTTGGTTTAGGTCATTTGAATGTAAAAGGAAACTTCGGCCCTTTCAAACACCTCAAACAATTAAGTCATTAGAATAACTATTTTATTATCCCAATTTCAAGGAAAACAGTATCAGTGCCGCCACTTCAGGCTCGTGTTTGAGCTCTAGCTTTTTAAAAATTCATCAAAGTTTATCTGAGTATCAGTTTGAGGCAACTCACTGAGCTGAAATGAAAGTTCTTTCATCAAGTAGATATTTATACATAAATCATCATTTAATTTAGTGCAAAACTAACAACAATCACATTTAAAGAGAAAAAAAGTGGAAAATATAAAATTTTTAGAAGCAAAATACAATAAATACAACTTTCAATTAGTTCAACACAAGAAGATGATGGATTATATGGGAAAATTAATTAGGTTGTATTACTATAATATAGCCAAGCATACAACTTTAAAAGCCCACTGTTTACAAGACAAATCTCAAGAAACACCAAACCAAATCTCAAGCAAACTAAAGTTATAAATACTCCAAGCATAAGCATGTTTAAGAATATCCCATCCCTCCACATTCAATCTTTCCCTGAATGCTAAATAAAATTCAATACAAACAAAACCTCAGAGTTCTGGTGTAGTTAGAGCAGAATGTAGGACTTCTTCAAGGTACTTTTCAGCAGCTGCATATTGCCGTTTCTTATCTTCAATAGCCAAAGCAGCAAGAGCCTTATCCTGCATCCAAACAGTAAAAGTATTGGTGTCTTTCCAACATATAAAAATCACTAAATTAAGAGAACGAAACATACAGGAGGTAAGTCTTGATAGCTCCTTAATGTATCCAAAATTGGCTTAGTCTTCTTCTCCAAGTCCTTTTTATGCTCAGCCATTTCCATAAGCACGCCATGATTGATTTCTGAAGTGTAGCCTACACGATTCAACAAAGCCTGCAAAGAGTACATTTTTTTAAGGAAAACTTCTAAATGAATTATAACCAAAGAGGAAAAGGTTGGTTATTGATACTGGGGGCATGCGCATAGATTAAATAAGTATCACAACTTTCTCAAGTTATGAAAAAGACAATCGTTTTTATGAATGCCAGATTGCAATAAAATACAGGAGAAAACAAGAATTATACTCTTTGGTACACACAATATTGATAATGCCATATTGCAACTAATATAAAAGGTTCTAGAATTCAACCCTAGAGCATATATAAGACCAATAAAGAAAGCAATACTTTTTGGTACACGCAATATGACATTTAAGTAATGAGGTAAGTGTTAGACCGGTCCTCTTTGGACCGGTCCAGCCGGCCCAATCCATTGGCCCGGCTCGGTTTGTCTACAGGCGACGGGAAAGGGCGGACAAAACAGGGGAGCCGGCGGAAGAGTGAGGAGCTGTTTGGGTGGGGTCCACTTGGTTTTGAATTTGTTTCTTGGAGCCAAAAGATGTGGGAGCAAGGGCAATGAGGTCCTTTTAGGTCATTTTTGAATTGTATGCATTAAGTAGGGGGAAAAGGAGAGATTAGGGTTATGTGATTTTTGCTTTGGAGTTTGATAGGAAATGCTCGAGTTCGCAAGTAACCCTAAGATAATACTTGAGTTCGCAAGCAAACCTAACCTAAATCGGTGAGCAAACAACAGCCAAATGGCTGTCCACAGCAGGAAAACAGTGAAAACAGCGGAAAACTGAAGAAAAACTGATGGAAAACGTAAGAAAACAATTGCAAACGATTGTATTCCACTAGTAGTTGCAAACAACAAGCAAGATACAATTTTCCTTCAATTCGAGAGGAAGGAAAAACTCTCCAAATCTCTAGCCGTAGCCTAGAGCCCAAGAACACCAAAACCTATATCTCAAATGAAGATTCCAATTCAAGATAATCCCCCCCTTCCTCCTAACCTCCTAATTAACCATAAAGGAGTTTTACAAAATGTCTAAACAGCCCCTCGCATTCAAAATTTCCCTCCCAAAACTCCTCCTTGGCCCCCGTCGGATGTGCTCGTTCCACTCGGTTCCGCCCGCCCTGTTCGGTTCCGCCTCGAGTAGGTGTGGACTGGTCCGGGTTGGACCGGTCCAGCCGGCTCAGGTGCCGGCCTAACAGAGTTTTCTTGTTCTTCTTTGTTGGCTAGGGCTCTAGATTGAAATCTAGAGATTGGGAGAGTGCGATCCTCCTCTCGAATAGAGGATCCTTGTATATTTGCTATTTGTCTTGCATCTACTAGTAAAATACAAGTCTTTTCTCCACATCTTCCGCAGTTTTTCCTTATTTTTCTACTGTTTTTTGGCTGATTTCCTGCTGTGGACAGCAGATTGCTTTGAGATTTGTTGCCAAAGTGATTAGGAAATACTTGAAATCAAGTATTTCCTATCAGCAAGTCAGTATACTTATATGTTAATATATTCTATGTTTTGAAAGGACAGCAAGTTATTTTCCTTTATGGGATGAAGGATTTGGGCTTGTTCTCACAAATCATGATATGGTTACAATTCCTACAATATGCAAACTGCTATAATTGATCAAATCTTGGTTCTACTTGCTGGGAAAGCTGTAACCAGCATGAATGAAAAAAACCTAAAGGTTAATGAAAATTATTTTTCAAAAAATATAATGGAAAAAACATATGCCCAAATGTAACCTTAATAATTTTGCTATAAATATGTAAGCATTATACAGTCAAAAACTGATGCTTGTATAATATCTTATATGTTCACATGCAAACGGTTTAAAATATAAACATTAAAATTTATATTATATCTACTAATTTTGCTTAATTAAGTTTCAATTGTTATCGTATTTATGGAGTTGAATTGTTGAAAATTAATTATCTTTCATGAGGTTATAAACCAAAAAGTGAAGCATTCCTTGTTTTTAAAAGATAAAAATCAAATGTTAAATAATGCCAAGCCAACAATTATAATTGAATCCAAAAATCAAACCAAAATCAAAATGATAAATGTAGTTTAGTTCGGGTTCTACTCTCAAGTAATTTGGTAATGTCCTGGTTCGAATAACAATGGAATTGAGTAGAGTTAGCTTAAGTACTAATTTTAGATGGAACTAATTCTAGCTGCATCCCAAATGGCAGTGTTGCCTTCAGGAATTCCAAATAAGAGAAAATTCTAATGCCAAAATAAAAATTATAACACAAGGATGCATACATGCAATATAAGACAAGCTTCAAGATTATTCTAATATTTTCTATTTTTTATAGGATTTTATTAAAATTTTAAATATACATCTAGGATTATCATATTTTAATTTAGATGATAGTATTTTTAGGAATAGTTTAGAGTAGAAAATATTAGATGATACTCTCCTAACAGGGTTATCAGAAGACTGGCATTTTATGTGACCAAATCATCTAAGGCGACTCTCTCTAAGAAAAGAGAACACCAAATTGGAAAAAATCCAAGTCTCACGCCACTAAAAGTAGGTATTTTACCCTAAAAGATGTTTATTGAACTCACATTACACTCGAAGAATCCAACATCCAACAAATACACATAATATTGAAGGAATCTAATATTTTATTAAGCGAAAAAAAGGTCTCCAATGCATGCCTTATATTATGTATTTATAGGTATTTATTTCCTAGTTCAATTTCCCTATAACTTGAACAGGCATCCATAAATAATATCAACCAACAATCAAAACAATCATCCAAATATGAATTCAACAAAGGTGGCAACAAAGGCAGGAAATAGCACTTGATATTTATCATTGGAACAACAAAAATAAAGAATAACGATACAATTGAGACACTACAAATCATTAGCTATATGATAGCAACTAAAGAATATTCTACTATCATGAAACCGTCCATAAATCAAACCTATCAAAATAACGTGAACCATTAAAAGTTGAACGAGTTGTTGAAAGCTATAAGATGTTGCAACAATCTCTATTATAGGGTTAAAAGTTACAGACATCGGAAGCTACAAGAACCCATGCTGAGCTTAGTTATAGGATAAGAATTCAATAACTCCAAAGTCCAAAATAGAAACTCCAAATCTAACAACTACGGAAACATCAATGTTGCTTAACTAATCACTTGAACTAAACAAGATACCATAAATGAAGAAAACACATCTAATTCTCATAGGCCGCCACATCATCACAAGCATATGTAAACACTAAAATTGAAAGAAAATTACAAAATAAACTATGAAGCAATTAAACACTACTAAGATCATTTATGAGCTCAATGATTCCAACAAATGTAAACTAGCATATCTCCTTCAAAGGTTCTTCCATCTCTTTATAATTTTAACCATGTAGAAATAAACCAAATGAAATACTACTATATATATACCAAAGTATCACTTGAACAAATGCACCACCTTATTTAACAGCATAACTACAACTAAACAACTATAATAAACTCAATATATCAAGACAATACAACATTTGCATGCAAATTCTAATTACAATAAATTCTGATAGGCAGAAAACTTCATGGAAAATAAATTATGAGGATTTGCACACCATGCTTTCACACTACACAACAACTATTTAGATTTAAGTTCAAACTACAAATTACAATCAGCATTCAATAATGTGAAAATAAAGCACTCCGAATTTTGGTAAAGCATTACAACAGCTTAAAAGGTCATAAAACCTAGCTTGTTCACAATTATTTAGACAAGTCTAATATTCATTTATTTTATTGTACAACATTGACAGGTAAATGAATTAAAATTAAAGATCCATCAATAACAACATAAAGCCTTTACCTACTATGTGGGATCGGCTACATTAATCCTTTTTTCTCCATTGTGTCTTATTAAGAGTCAAATTCTCATTTAAAACTAATAAAAAAATGTCATTTCTAATACTTTTTAACCAAGTCTTTTTAGCACTACTTCTATCTTTCTTAACATAGGCCAAATCTAATACATCTACTCTCCTAATCGGGTCATTATAAGGCCGACATTTTGTGTGACCAAACCATCTAAGGAAAACTCTCTTTAATCTTATCTACCACTGGAGCTACTCCGTCCTTTTCATGTATAAACTTGTTTTACATTCCTTCTCTAATAGTGAAGCCACTCATCCACCTGAGTATCCTCATCTTTGCAACACTTAACTTAATGTTATGCTTATCTTTTAATGGCCAACATTCTGTGCTATAAAATATTACCGGTCTCACCCATCTGGTATAATTTACCTTTAAGTTTGAGGGGTACTTTTCTTTCACAAACAGGCCTGATTCATTTCTCCACTTCAACCATTCAACTTGAATTCTACAAATAATATCCCTATATATTTCGCCATCACATTGAACAATAGACCCGAGATATCTAAAACGTGTACTCTTTTTAATGACATGATCACCCAAAAGTCACAATCCCCACACAAGATTTATTACTACTAAAATTATACTCCATGTATTAGGTTTTAGAGTCACTCAAATGAAAACCTTTAGACTCTAAGGTTGACCTCCATAATTCAAGTTTTCCTTTAACTCCCTCTCTTGTCTTATCAATAAGAAGAATATCATCAACAAAAAGCATAAACCAGGGTACACCCTCTTGCAAATGTATAGTGAGGACATCCATGACTAAAACAAAAAGATATGGGCTTAAAGTTAATCCTTGATATAATCCACCTGAAATAGGAAAAATACTTGGTTAAACCATATTGTATTTGAACACAGGTAACAGTTCATGCATATATATTCTTAATGACTTGAATATAAGCATTATTAACAACTTTTTTTTTCTAGAACTCTCCATAGTACTTCTCTTGGGACTTTATCATATGCTTTCTCTAAATCAATAAATATCATATGTAGATTATCCTTATTCTCTCTATACTTCTCCATCAAACCTCTCAATAAATGTATAGCTTCCATAGTAGACCTACCCAACATGAATCAAAATTGATTTTGAGAAACATTAGTACCACATCATAACCTATGCTCAATAACTCTCTCCCATAGGTTTAATGTATGACACATTAACTTAATTCCACTATAATTTACACACTCAGGTGCACCACCTTAATTCTCAAAAATAGGAACCAGCAAGCTCTTTCTCCACTCATCTAGCATCTTTTTAGTCTTCAAAATAATATTAAAAATTTTTCATAAACCAAGAAATTGCTTCTATCTCCTAAGCATTTTCACACTTTTATTGGAATATCATCAGGCCCAATGGCTTTTCCACACTTCATTTTCTTTAAATCCTCTCTAATTTCATTTTTACTAATATGACGATAAAAACAACCATCTATGTTTTTATTTAGGGTAATAAGATCACTAAAGTCAATCGTATTCTCACAATATTCATTAAAAGACTTATAAAAATATCTTATCTATCTACGTTGAACATCCTCTTCTAAATTTAAGGATGCATCATATGAGAAAAATCCAAGAAAATAAACCTTCCCATGAGCACTTTGCCTTAGTTGCCAGCAAACAACATCAACTATGCAAAAGTCACTTAAATCCAAACAAAGGCATACCTTGTAATTATTGAGTTGGAGTATGTACTGTCTTTCTTTCGAATCCATGATCGTCATGTTCCTCTGCCAGTGTTCAACTTGAGCCACATGAACGTCAATTTCATTGTCAAACTTTATGAAGGTTCTGCAGCACAGGATAAATAAATAGAAAGACATCATAGCAGAGTAACATCAAGGCCAATAGCCAATCTAAAAAGAAGAAGAAGAAAAATAAAGAACAGAAACAAATTGCATTGAATTCCTACTTCTTGAGATCATTGAGCTTTGCAATCGCCTTGCGAGTGTACTCCAAAAGAGCCTTGGAATCCTTCTGCACCTTCGCCCTCTTCTCATCCACATCCGCCTTCCTCAGCGACAAATCCCCCATTGCAACAACAAAACTAATACTCATTCGGTCGACGCATTCACAGGAAACAAAGGATAAATATTTATCACATGGCTCATTTGGTTGCTCGCAGATAGAAAATATGCTAAAAGTTTTGATAATGTTGTCTTCACTCACTGCTTAAATTGTGTAAAATAGAAATCATTATATTTGATATAATTTTGAAAGAATTCATGAAGCTTAAATTCAGTGTTGATTTCTAATTAGGCTTACTCAGGTAATAGATCTAGAATATCTCGTCGATTTGCTTCAAAACGTTTTCAAAATCCAACCAACCAAATGATGTCTTTAAAGCACAAAATATCCAAAGCCCTAACATACTTACCTGCTGGACTCGGTATCGCGAATGTTGAGCAAATTGGCGACGCTGGCAACAACCTGGACTGAGGAGACTGCGTCCGGGGTGAGGCGCTCCTGGGAGAGGCCGGCGCTATCGAGAATCTCGCGGATCCTAGCGGCCTGGGCGCGATATTCGGTCGCTTTGAGACGGAGGTCATCGGCAACAATGGAGGCAGCACGCGATCGGGACTGCGAGAGAGTGGCAAGGGCATGAAGCTGGGCCACACTGCGGGGGGTATACTCGAACTCCGGCACCTCTCTCCCGGCGGCTTCAAACTGGGCGGTCAGCCATGCCTTCACCTCGTTGATCCGGACTGCATCTGAGTTCCAGCCACTTGAATTGACGGAGTAGAGGTCGCCGACGACCTCCATAGTAGGAGCCTTCGAACTCGCTTGTTCCCGCTGCTGAGTAGTGAGTACCAAAGACAATCTTAACTTCAGACCGGAAGGTAGAATATAGCATTGGTATCACAAATAATAACAACCGGCTGTTATATATAATGGCATAAATAAAATTTTGAATAATAAAATTTAAAATCAAATTATAAGATGTTATATTAATGATAGTATCTATTAAAAAAAATAATATAAGAAATTATTGTTTGAAATTCAAGCACTATTATATCATCATCCAAATATACTCATAAAAAATTAATTATGGGCTTACAACCTACTAAATATATCAAAGTACATATTGTCTTATCAATACACATTGTCTTAACCTAGCTTAAATGCATATTTATCTCATACATATTTATAGAACTTTGAAAATTAATAAAATTTTTATGAAGTATAAAATTATTAGTTATATTATTTATGAAATAATAAATTTATTTTATAAGTTTATCATTACTAATAATTCTACAAATAATCTTGTTCTTGAAGATAAAACTAAAAAAATAGACATAATTCTAAAGATTATATGATTCTTAATGATAAAATTAAATAACATTTTTATATGCATATAATGCAAGTACCAAATAATAAATGATTTATGTGAATTAATTATTCATAAAAAAATAAGTTGTTGAGTGCAATGTTCACGAGCTCATTATCTTAATAGGTAACAAAAATCAATTCACTCTCAAGATCATGGCTTAAAGGCTCATGATCTCATTATCGAGTCGAGCTAGCGAGCTCATCGTTAAGCATTTAAGTTTATCTTTAAGGCAACTCAAATGTTTCTCGAAGCTCCTATTAGATCTATGAAATGCATTCTTCTCATAGCTTTCCTCTTTTTTTTTTTTTTATTGATCTGTAATATTTTGAGCGAGATGTCTTCTAAGAATGAACAAGCAAAGGAGATGGTACGTCGCATTGCACAGGCAACTTCCTTTCGGTGGTCTTGTTAATAAGCAAGGTTTTGCCTTAGATGCTGGAGAAGCAAAGAACGAAATACGCCATACCTTCAGATCGAGTTCCATTGTCGATGAGTTTCTTGACAACTCCCAAGCCTCTTACCCTCACTGAGCAATGCCACATTAATCGCTCATGGAGTTGGTCGTCCCAGTTATATGTCTTCAAAGGATGAACAAGCAAAGGAGATGGTGCGTCACATTGCACAGGCAACTTCCTTTTCAATGGTCTTGTTAATAAGCAAGGTTTTGCCTTAGATGCTGGAGAAGCAAAGAACGAAATACGCCATACCTTCAGATCGAGTTCCATTGTCGATGAGTTTCTTGACAACTCCCAAGCCTCTTACCCTCACTGAGCAATGCCACATTAATCGCTCATGGAGTTGGTCGTCCCAGTTATTTGGCTTGTGTTGTTGAATGCCTGGGGCGGAACCAGTCATAATTTTCAGGAGGGGCAAACTTATAAGTAATTGTTGGCATATATATCGGGGGTCCAAGGGGGCAGCGCCTCAGGAACAAATTTTGATTTACTATTTCTCTTTGTATTTGGCTCATCATTCCCTAATAATAACACATTTACACAATGTGTTTAATTATATTGGTGGTAATTGCCAAAAGATCATAGTATTTTAATATTTTTAGGGGGGGGCTAATTGCCTAAACTCTTATAATAAAGACTAAATTACAGATTGAAGGGGGACAAATTGCCTAAATAATTGTATAATGAACAAAAAAAATAAATTTCTGAGGCCCTAACCTCCAAAGGGTTCCACCCCTGTTGAATGGGGAAGTTGCTTGGGTCTTTTCTAAGCAAAGGCGAAGCTATATTATCCATCACAAAGGCCATACCTCTCTTTCAATACCATAACATATTAACATGATCAATGGCTAACATCCTCTAGGGACTTGGGATCATTTGTAATTTGTTTATATCAATTTTAAGATGAGTTTGGACTATCATTATTCATGTTTTGAAACCATTTCAAAGAAATTTATAGAGGAGTTTGTTTAGTTTGATGAAAAGTGAGTGCAGAGTATTCCAAATTGTGATGTTGATGTTTGATTTGATAAAAAAATGAATGCAAAGTAAAAGTTGGTGAATTCCAAATTTGCTTCCTAGTTCAATTTTGTTCAATCCAAAAATCACTTTGTGTTTTGCTAAATTCTAAGGTAGACCGTAAGAAAGCTCATCTCTCACAGTCGGCCACCGCCGCCATCCGCCATGATTGTTAAGTTTTACGCTACATTTTTTTCTAACCAAAAAGTAATAATAATAATTACCTTCATTTGTTTTTATGTCCATTCAAACAATTCAAAATATTTTAAATACATCATATTTTGTTTATATTGCAGTTGATTTTTAACAAACCAAAAAGATCCTATGAAAATTGTCCATTTTTATAAGTCTCAAGGTAAGGGCTTGCCCTTTTGATTGAATGAAAATAGGAAAATACTATTGCTTGAAAAGGGATATTCCTACAACTTATACTAAAATTTCAAGAATTATTATAGGTCTTCTATCAAAATCAACAGCTTTATATAAATTATTATTACAATAAATTAAAATTTTTTTATGGCATTATAAGCTATACATTTTTTAAAGAATTGATTATTCGAGAAGTTTTACACTGGCTATCGACTACCTAACGTAACTCTCTACTTCTCTCATCTAGGACTTGAGACTTAACAACAATAGTATTAAAATTTGTTTCATATTATGAACTATACATCTTAAAGAAAAATATTTCCATTATAACATTGTTTTGTTGAATGTCTGTTATTTATGTAGCTCACCTTTATTTGTTGCTCATCATTTTGACTATCAGCTACGAAATTTTGGATTTGAAACTTACATATGTGATATGCATGTGAATTTACCTTAATTGGCTCAAAAATAAAGAAAAAAAAGCCAATTATTTGCACAAACCTTGGCTATTTACTATCCTTTAGAGAATCTCACATAATAGCCATAATAAATGCATAGTATTTTATTAATCAACCTGAGTTGTAGTTACTATATGACAAATTTTTGAATCTTTTATCATCATATGAAAATCAATATGAAGAGTAATAATGTTAATCTCTTAATCAAAGATCAATAATTTATTTTGATACAAATCACAAATTATTTTTTAAAACATAGTGTAAATTTTGTTGAATCTTATTTATAAATTATGCAAAATAAAATAGTAAGTCCTTTATGGCAAAAAGAAGACTCAAATGAAAACTCTGAATTGTAATCCCATTAAAAATATTTTATCCTGATCATATCATAATATTTCTTCACTATTTTAGATATACATGCTAGAAATAAAATTTTATTTCTTTTAATATCCGACGCACTCTTTAAATTATATATTTTTTATAATACATTCCATTTTACTTCTTGATTTTCCTACAAAATGGAAAAAGGGTTTACAAAATTCAAGGGCGTTACTGTAATTTCAATTTGCATTTATATCACATATTTACGCACCTTAATCTGTTAGGGTTTCCGCTGCAAGCCGTTTCGTCGAGAGCTTCTTCTCTGTACTCTGCCGCCCTTTTGGAGCAGCGGCCATGGCACCCACCAAGAAGACGGTATCGATTTTTTCTATCCGTATGGAGTTAATTTCATTGCAATTTTACTCTTCTATTTATGGACGACCATGCGCACTGCATCTTCTTCATGTTTTCGTTCTTGGATGCAGAAGAAGAGCACCGAGAGCATCAACAACAGACTAGCCCTTGTTATGAAGAGTGGAAAGTATACACTCGGATATAAAACTGTTCTTAGGTCCCTAAGGAGCTCCAAAGGTGATTTACTTCTTGTATATTCCTGTATTTGATGTACTTCTCGAGTATTTTCCTGCTCTTCTTGTTAGCTTGTTCTGTTGTTCTTTTAGGGAAAATTCCGAAAGCATTTGAATGCTGTAACAAATAGTAGCATCTGATTTTCCTTGGTTACCCTTTGAGATTGAAGGTTTTGCGAAGGTTGACATGTGCGATGATGCGTTTGACTGGTTTTGGGATTTAAGTTTGGCTCTTGGGCTACTTAAAATGCCTCAGAGATGAATACAGGTCCCTATATAAATCTCGGCATTTAGCCCATTATAATTTCATTCAGAGAATTAATTGATATCTGGGTGGATCTGTCTATACCCCGACATTCCTTTATATATTATTGGTCCTGTAACTGCAAATTCATTCTTGGCTGTACAAGTTTCTATTTGTAGAGTCATTTATACAGATCTTGAGTGCAGTCATTCTTGTTTTCACCTGATTAGATGCCGTAAAGTTGGTGAGTAATGGAAATTGGAAAATGGATAAAAGTTTTCAGTCCACTGTTTACTGATATATTATTAAACTGTTGAAGAATTTGACTTATTTTTCTTCACTCATCATTCATCTGAAATCAGTAATTTTCTCCCGGTGAGCGAATCCTACTTCCTAGTTTCGTTTGAGACCAATACATATTAATTGTTTAGTCAGCTCAAGCTGTATATTTTATTCACTTTTATTGTGATCTTGATCTTTTTATTCTTTTAGAGACACAAATCATTTGGATGCTGCAAGAAATATTGGCATCTGATTTGCGTTTGTTGCCCTTTGAGATTGAAGGTTATGTTAATTTTAACGTGTTTGAGGATCTCTATGACTTGTTTTTTGACTGATATTTGATTCTTGGGCTTCTTAACATGCCTCAGAGATGAATACAGCACCCTATATAGTTCTTGGCATTTTACCCCACTTTTTTTTCTTCTAGAGAACTATTTAATATCTAGTTGGATCTTTCTGTGCTGAGACATTGCCTTAGATGATGTTGGTTGGCTTCTTTTATGTAAGCACAATTTTGGGTGTAGATATTTCTGTTTGTAGATGCATTTGGACTGATATTGTGTGCAGTCATTTTGACTGATCTTGAGTGTTGTTTATTCTTTTTTGTTTAGATATGGACTGTTTAGATGGAGGACACTAGGACAGTTAGTGAAGAAAATGAGAATTGAATTGAAAAAAATCTTAAACCAGCTGCAGTAGATTTATTATAATGCTGTTAAAAAATTTCACTTGCTTCTTCTCATTCATCCAAAGCCTATAATTTTATGTTAGTGCTACTACTCCCACGCCCTGTTTTATTTGACATGGATAATTGTCATATTCCACCTTTTTTTTCTCTTCCCCTCCCATGCTTTATGCTATGAATACCTTTCGTTAACTCAATTTGTGCATTTTACCTATTCTTCGAGTGAAATCAATCTTTTTATTCTTTTAGTAGATACACGAAAATCATTTGAATGCTGCAACACAATAGCATCTGATTTGGTTTTGGTAATTGTTTTCTGTTGAGATTGAAAGCAATGTCAAATTTGATGTGTAGGATGATTTGTATGCCTTATTTTGGGATATGTAAAATGCCTAATAGATGAATGCAACTCCCTATATAAATCTTGGTATTTTACTCCATTTTCGTTCCATCCCGAGAACTAATTTATATCGATGTAGATCTGTCTATGCTGAGGCATTGCTTTAGATTTTTTTTTTTTTTTTTTTTTTGCGTAAGTGTAAGCACATGCTTGCCTTTATAATTTATGTTCCTTGCAGTTTTTTTTTTTTCCTTTTTTATTTTGATATGAATCATTTAGATGCGGAAAGTTAGCAAAGGAAATGAAAAATGGTTTGAAATTTCTCAACACAGTGGTTGCAGATTTATTATGAATTCGTTAAAGAATTTTTTTTCCTTTCTTTTCATTTATCTAAAATCTCTAGTTTTGTGTTGGTGCTACCCCTACTTCCTAGTTTAGTTCAAGATTGATGATTGCTATATTCCATAGATTGTTTTTTTTCCTTCCTTCTATTATCGCTGTCTTCCATGTATTTAGTCTTTAGTTAATTCAAGTTGTACATTTTATGTATTCTTCTAGCGAGATTGATGGTTTTATTCTTCTAGGAGCAACTCTAAGGTCATTTGGATGCTGCAACAAATAGTAGCATCTGATTTACGTTTGCAACCTTTTGAGCTTCAAGATTACGTTTACTACGTTCAGGATTATGCTGCAACAAATTGTTTTTGGGACTGATATTTGACCCTTGGGCTACTTAACATGCCTCAGAGATGAATGCAGTTCCCTAAATAAATCTCGGCATTTTACCCCACTTCTGTTTTATGTAGGGTAGCATATAATATCTTGATGTATCCTCCTATGCCGAAACATCTCATTTGATGCTATTGGTCCTGTAACCGCATTCTTGCCTGCATGAGTTTCTATTTGTAGATGCATTTTTGACTGAGCTTGTATACAGTTTTTTTCTTTCTTACTTGATAAATGCAAGAAAGTTAGGGAAGAAAATGAAAAATGGTTGCAGATTTTTATGAAGCTGTTAAAGGATTTGATTTTTTCTCATTCATCCAAAATCATTAATTTTCATTTAATGCTTCTTCTACCTCCTAGATTAGTTTAAGATCGATAATTGCCGTATTACACTTGGTATATTGTCAACTAGTTTTTGTTTTGCTGAATATAAAGCTATATGAGAATACGTGAAATGGTTGGAATATTTGTGCTTGGTTGTTTGTCATTCTAATCACCTACAACAATAACAACATCAAGCCTTTATCCCACTACGTGGGGTCGGCTACATGAATCCTTTTTCTCCATTGTGTCCTATTAAAAGTCAAATTCTCGTTTAAATCTAATAAAGAAATGTCATTCCTAATATTTTATAACCAAGTCTTTTTAGGTATACCCCTATCTTTCTTAACACAAGTCAAATCTAATACCTCTACTCTCCTAACCGGGTCATCAAAAGGCCGCCTTTTTATGTGACCAAACCATCTAAGGCGACTCTCTCTAATCTTATCTTCTACTGGAGCTACTCCAACCTTTTCACGTATATGCTCATTTCGTATCCTATCTCTAAGGGTAAAGCCACTCAAAGCCACTCATCCACCTGAGCATCCTCATCTCTGCCACACTTAACTTAGTATTATGCTTCTCTTTTAATGGCCAACATTCGGCACCATAAAGCATTGCAGGCCTCTAACTTAATTTGACATTATTGTGATTGATTAATCTCATTCATAATATCTTAAATATTGTTACGGTAGCAATTGTATTGCACACACGTTAATTTGATCAAGTTGGTTCTATATACAATGCGGAAAAGTAATTCTATCTTCAACACTAGCGAGATGTAGATATTTTCATGGGAGATAGAAAAGGAAAATATTGAAGTCTGTTTATGCTAAAATATTTGTTCTTGGTTATGGTTCTTGGGTTAATAGAAATTGCCTCAGGTGAAATTTGTACGTGGTTTTTATTTTTACAAATTTCTTCTTTTTTCTTAGATTTTTTTCCCTCTTTACTGAGCTCAACTTTGTTATTTAAAATAGGAATTTATATTTACGCTTCACGCATTTGATGAATGATTCCATATTGCAGTTCATAAATTATTTTAGGTGTTATGATATCCTTTATGTAAGTTTTCAGATATAAGAAATTAAGGAGAAAAAAAATAAGAGTAATGTTACGCTATCCCATCCACAGGCCCAAAAAGGTCCTGATCTGTTAGCAAAAAGAAATTAGGTGCGATACACAATCAAATTAGTTTATTAAGCTTTCTCCCTCTTTATCTCTCTCCATTTCCATTTTAATGCCAAAACATAAATGGCTTTTCGATGGTTCTGTGTGAGGCAACATAACATTTCTCTAATAATAATGCTGGAATTGATTTGAATGCTAGTATTTCCATAAAAACACTCAGAAAAGTCGAAGGATTACACCAAGTTTTAGATTTGGCTTTTCATGAATGGTGGGCCGTGCCTACAGTGGATTTTGTGTGGACTATGCTCCTTTGAAATTTAGTTATAGGAATGTCAGCGTCTGAATCTCTGAGATATTCCACGAGAGTCATTATTTTAGAATTTTGTATATTGTTCCAAAGTAATATGATTAAGGTTTCGTTTGGGATCACTTTCTTTATGCTTCTTAAAGTAGATTTCTAGTAGGAAAAAAATAATTTTTTTACTAGAAAGCTGCTTTAAAAAGCAGTAAGAAAGCTGTCCCAAACAAAGCCTAAGTAAAATTAAGGTATGTGATGAGCGTAGCAAGATTATTTTTTTAAATTTAAAAAAAAATTCTTTGTGCATATGCTTTTATGTGCATCATTCAATGGCTTATTACTGATTTCTTGGTTAGGTGCTTTGACTTGTGAAGTTATTGCATCGACTGTTAGTTTTGTCATGTTTTCTTGTTGGTATACTCCTATGGTTGGTACAGTCGATTATTTTTTTATGTTTTTTTTTTCAAGGTTGTGTATGCTGTATATATTGTTTGATGTGCTTTAACATAGTGTTGGGTTTTCCAATATAATTAATATGATGCATGTGATACTTGTATGCAAAAGAAATTAGATGATTCACATGTCTACAATAACTGATTATTTCAGCAATTCACTCTCTTTAAGCTCTATTGACAAAGAATGATCAAATTTCTAAAGCAATTAAAAATTAGAAACAAATAAAATTAACAAAAACAACAACATCAAGTCTTTTTCGCACTACGTGGGTTGGTTGCATGAATCTTTTTCCTTCATTGTGTCATGTTAAGAATCAAATTCTCATTTAAATATAATAAATAAATGCTATTTCTAATATTTTTTAACCAAGTCTTTTGAGGTTGACCTTTATATTTCTTAGCATAAGCCAAGTCTAATACATCTACTCTTCTTATCGGGTCATCGAAAGACTGCCGTTTTATGTGACCAAACTATCTAAGGTGACTCTCTCTAATCTTATCTTCCACTGGAGCTACTCCAACCTTTTCATGTATATGCTTTTTTGTATCTTGTCTCTAAGAGTAAAGCCACTCATCCACCTAAGCTTCTTCATCTTTGCAATACTTAACTTAATGTTATGTCTCTCTTTTAATGACCAACATTCTGCACCATAAAGCATTCTATGACTCACCACCATCTTATAGAATTTTCCCTTAAGTTTGAGGGGGATTTTTCTATCAAACAACAAGCATGATGCGTTCCTCCACTTCGACCATCCAACTTGAATTCTGCTAATAATATACTCATCTATTTCTTCATCACTCTGAACGATAGACCCGAGATATCTAAAATATGTACTCTTATTAATGACTTGATCGCCCAAAGTCACAATCCTCCACTAGATCTATTACTACTTGAAAAATTTTAAACTCTAAGTTTGACTTCCATAATTAAAGTTTACCTTCAACTCCTCTAGTTTTATCAACAAGAAGAATATCATCAGAAAAATCATACACCAAGGTACAACCTCTTGCAAATGTCTAATGAGAATGTCCATGACTATAGCAAAAATATATGGGCTTAAGGATGATCCTTGATGTAATCCAACTGAAATAGGAAAATACTTTGTCAAATCATCTTGTATTTGAACATAAGTAACAACTCTTGCATACATATTCTTAATGATTTGAATATAGGGGTGTAAATGAGCCGAGATGACTCGAACTCGACTCGCTAATGAACTTGTGAGTAGAGCCACAAGCTTGAGATCGAATATTAAACAAGCTCGAGTTCAAGTTTGATTAAAGTTGGCTCGTCTCACGAGTCGATTTAAATAAATTAAATATTAAAAAAAATTTCAGGTGTAGTTTAAATGATAAGTATTTAATAATAACATTTAAAAGTATTGTACAAAACAACTAATATTTAATAGCAAATGTCCTATCAAATTACCTTTATTGTACTTATTTACCCAAAATAAAATTGATGTTAGCTTTTTCAAGAGAGAGAAAGAGTTGTACTATGCTACTAGCTTCCTTCTTCCCATAACCCATTATACAACCGGCAGAGAAGGTGATACGAAGTAGAAGAACTTTCAACCAAATCATCAAACTACAAGAGAAATTTGATAGAAGAACACATCACTAATCTTTTTATTTTAGAAAATATGAAAGAGAACAAACAAGATACAATAGATTTTCAATTGGAGAGGAAGATCCGGCTCTCCCAAATCTCTAACTGGCGGCTAGAGCCCTCACAATCTAGGAGCAAACTAAATTAAGCAAATACATAACATATCCTAACCCTAGGGTAAATCAACTATTTATAGCAAACAATAAACAATAAAATACCAAAATAGCCCTCCCCTAATTCTCTCTCAAATCAGCCCCAAATCTGTCATATTTCCTTATTTATTTCCCTCCCAAATCAGCCCCCAAATATGTCTTTTTCAATTAGGAAACAATTCCCCAAAATTAGCTCTCTTCAATTAGGAAACATTTTCTAATTAACCCCCTTAAAAATAGCCCCCCAAATATGCCCTCTTAAATTATGAAACTCCTAATTAATTCCATCTAAATCAATGCTTATATCAGCCTCTTTCCTTTAATAAAATCTTTCTAATTCCATCCCAAATCTAATTCAAATTAGCTATCTTTCCCTAAATAAAATTTCTAATTATTTCTCCCATGATTTCTCCTCCTTGTATTGTGAATATTAACTCCCCTGGACCCCACAAGATGGCCCCCCTTGGCGTATCAGAAAGCTCCCGCTGTTTGGCTCCATCGCGGTCCGTGAGTTTTTCGACAAGCAAGAATATGGTCGCTATGTATCGAGTCGAGCTCTCTCGAGCCGGAGTATATATGCTTGAGTCGAGTTCGAGCTCGCTTTTTAAGCTCAACTCGAGCTCGAGTTCAAGCTATTAATTTCAGTGACGAGTTGAGCTCAAGCTTGCCGTGACTCGAGCTCGACTCGACTCGTTTACACCCTGCTTGAATATAAGCATTATTAACCCATTTATTCTCTAGAACTCTCCATAGTATTTCTCTTGGAACTTTATCATATGCTTTCTCTAAATCAATAAATATCATATGTAGATCCTCCTTATTCCCTTTATACTTCTCCATAAAATCTCTCAATAAATGTATAGCTTCCATAGTAGACCTATCCGACACGAATTCATATCGATTTTGAGAAACATTAGTATTACGTCTTAATGAATCCTCCATAACTCTCTCCCTCTCTCCCTCTCTCCCATAGTTTTAAAGTATGACACATTAACTTAACTCATCTATAATTCGCACAATCTTATATATCATCTTTATTCTAAAAATAGGAATCAACATACTCATTCTCCACTCATCTAACATCTTTCTAAACTTTAAAATAATATTAAAAAGTCTAGTAAGCCAAGAATTCCTTCATCTCCTAACTATTCCCACACCTCTATTGAAATATCATCAGGTCCAACGGTTTTTTCACATTTCATTTTCTGTAAAGCCTTCCTAACTTCAGTTTTACTAATGCACTGATAAAAATAAAAAATATTTTCATTTAGCGTGCTAAGGTCATTAAAGTAATCATATTATCAAAATATTTATTGAAAAGTTTAGCATAGTATCTCATCCACCTTTGTTGAATATTTTTTTTAATAAAGCACTTTTTTGTTTTCATCCTTAATTCACTTCACTTGAACTAAATCCTTACTATTTTCTCTTTATTTAGCTAACTTATATATATATATATATATATTTCATCATCCTTAGTAGCTAAAATTTGTGCATTCTATATTGTTTTCTTACACTCCTTACAGGTCTCTTTATTTCTTTTCCAATTATCAGAGTTTTTACATATGAGCCAATTTTTATAATTTTTTTTTGCACATTATGATTTCACCACCAACTATTTTTCCCAATTAGAAGTTTTTCCTTTTATACGACAAACACATCATATAATATTATCTTCCTCGTGCACATATAAAATCTTAAGATCTAGAATTTTACTCTTAAAATTTTTTTTATTAATATTCTTTAAATATCTTCATCTAATCCTAGAATAATGTTTTATTTTATTTTTTATATTTTACCCTTCATCTTAAAGTTTAAAAATAATAAGTAATGTTGGGTATATAAACTTTCATTCGAATTGCAGATAAATACTTGGTTTAAAGATGATCAAATGCAGGTCTTTTGACACTAATTTTTTCAGTGTTGCTATCATGTAGTTATTTTTGGTGGTTGTAATATTGTTTTAGAGGAATTCTAAGTTGGAATCATGAAATGTCTTGGTTTGTTCAAGTAATTTCTCTGAGTTTTTAAAAGTATGAATGTGGCTGCCTATCATAAATGGCTAACCAGTTTCTGGGTATGATGTCTACGTTGTAGTGGTTGCTCATCCCAAAAAGTAGTCAATGTAGTGTCTATAATAACTTGGCATAACACATGGAGTCAGTATGAAACCATTATCTGCATGTATTGTACGTTTAAAATAATTACGCTTGATATGATCTCTCTAACTCTTGATTTTATTTATGAATCTTAAAGAAGCTGGGGCCGATTATTTTGTTGTTTTGTTCCGTGCTCAAGTTTTTCGTTTAACTAGACTCAAAACGCGGTCGGGAGACCAACCAGAATGTGCCACGTCCGCCGTACCGAACCACGGTACTGAGTGGTACCGAACACATGAATGATTTGGCGTATTTTGGTTGGTCTCCGGACAGCGTTTTACATCCGCACAGAATAATTTATTCCGTTTAACATCTATTGCATTTAAAATAAGATAGGTTGGTACCCCTGGAATAATTGGTTTTACTTCACAGGTAAGTTGGTCATTATTGCAAACAACTGCCCGCCTCTTCGAAAGTCAGAAATTGAGTACTACGCTATGCTGGGAAAGGTTGGAGTCCATCATTTCAATGGAAGTAAGTAGTTAATTATCCTTCTTAACAATTTCTTTTGTTTCGAGTCTGCAAATAATAGTAGTGCTATGATCATTCAATTCTACTGCACTTTTCTTGAATCAGATAATGTTGATTTGGGAACTGCTTGTGGTAAATATTTCCGAGTTTGTTGCCTTAGCATCATTGATCCAGGTTGGTCCATTTTACCTTCTATATTTTGTTTTGTTTACTTCCCATAGCTTTTTGGGGTTTTACTGAATTCTCTTATAGCTATTTATGATTTTTCCCCCTTTTCTTCCCTTCAGGCGATTCAGACATCATCAAGTCCATCCCTAGTGATTAGTACTTGTATGAATGATTGCTTCGATTCTTCTTCAGTAGTTTTCCTTTCTTTTTTCACTTTGTAAGCTTTGATCAAAAAAATGTTGGTGACAATGTAATTTTTCATATTGGAAATTTCATCTCGTTCTGATGAGCTATTTGACGAATGGTTAGCATGAATCTTCTTAACTCTAATTAAGCTTTGTTCACATTTTTAAATAAATGAACGTTATTTGGCTTTAAACGTAGAGAGTATTATACTGTTCTTTTATTGTCCTAATCTCCTTTTAGCCTGTAAAAGCATGGTGGTCTGTGAAACTGTGAATGAAATAACTAAATAAGTGTTAAGGAGATTCCTATTTGTAATGGTTCTATGCTGACTTTAAATTGTTGGGATTTGGTTAACTGACAAATTTGGAATAGCTTGTTCATTTTATAATCTTGAGTTTTGTGCTTTTAGGCACAATATGTAAGTGCTGTGAGGCTCAGCTTATTTTAATGCAAGTGTTTCTATGACTTTGTTTCTGATAAAAATTTTACCCTTTTTTCAAGTAATTTTTATTAAAAAATTTTGGAAAGTAGCTAAAAATTAGCGCAAAAAATTTGTTCCAAATGAAGCCTAAGCGTCTACAATTCAAATGTTAGAATTTATGTTGTTGTTAGAATTTATGTTGTTGGTGATTGTTGATGGCGATGATTACAAGGTTTTGGCGTTGTGAGAGTTGCTCTCAAAGACTTGATTTTCTTCCCACAAAACTCAAACATAGTTGAACGGAGAAGACAGATGAGTTGCCGAACTATAATATTGATTAGGATGATGATATGAACATCTTTCGAGATTACAGCCAGGGTTGTCCTTCAAGCTTTACTTGATTCTTAAAGTGTCAAAATATTATCTATTGAAATATTTGTGACAGTAAAAAGAAAGAGCTTAACATCTGAGAAATGTATAAAAATCATGTATGCAAATAGATAGATAAGTTAAGAGAAGATCATATGAGACGCGATGATTTTTATGAAAAAAATTAGCGATGGAAAAAACTCAACAAAAATTGTTTCACTAGTAGGAGTCCTGCATTATAAATGACACACATCCTTATAAATGAGACGTCATTAATAAAATCTAGTAGACATTAGCTGGTAAAGATGACTTTCATAATAGAGGTAGGAGGAGCCATAAAGTATGAGTTGCCTTTAAGAGCCAATCAACAATCTATTTGATCATTCTCCTTATATGATGGGAGGCCAATGACATAGAAGGTGACATCAGCTTTAGGCTTAGTTTGGGACGGTTTTCTTGATGCTTCTTAAAGCAGCTTTCTAGTTAAAAAATTAAAAAATTTGTACTAAAAAGCTGCTTTAAGAAGCAGTAAGAAAGCCGTCCCAAACAAAGCCTTAGTAATTATGGGGAGCATGATAGTTGGACATCAGCAACGATGGTGATGATGGAGGCAATGTTAAGTGTCAGATTGGTGGCAACAATTTGCCTTAGCCTTGTAGGAAATAATGGAAGTTTACCTTGATTGGGGGGATTATGTAATGCAACCTAAAGCTTTGATATCAAATTAATGACCTTAAGCTCACAATATTTTAGAGAAGAAAAATATAGGTGGAAGGAAAATTGTGAAGAGAATAAGTAGAAAGAAGTCCAAGATGAAGTGATAGGGGATAAAGAAAAGACTAGCTCACAAGCTAAGAAACCCTCAGATTTCATTAATTGAAGAGAAGAAAGATATAGATTAAAACACACAGCATATAAATCAAATAAGGGGGAAATGACAATAAATTACTCACTTAAATGTGGCACCAAATAACCAATGGAAGCCCATCAAGACGAGAAATTATTCTATGCGGAGTCCGACGGGAAGAACCGTTCGGACATGTGATTGTACACATTGTGTACACATTTTGTACATAATGTGTATCAAATTAGTGTACGCAATGGATACACTCATAGTCTTGACGATTCTTCCCATCCGAACTCCGCACAAAATAATTTCTCCTTCAAAATAGCCGACTTAGTGAGAAGTTAAAACACATAGCATATGAATCAGCAAGGGGGAGCATGAACAACCAACAACAGGGAAATCAAGCGTCAACAAGGAAACCAAGAGCCAGCAAACATGGAAACAAATAGTCAACATGGAAAACTGTGAACCAGCAGGCAGGGAAACTAAAATCCAATAGGGAAAATCATGAGCCAGCAAGAAACATGAGGAGACACAGGAAATATATAACCAATGGAGTGAAACTACCTAAGAGCACCAGACCCAAGCATGATCACGGGTTGTTTTCCATCATAGGGCAATACAAAAATAAAAAAACATAAAGTCCAAATTACATAGTGACCAAAACATATGAAAAAAAAAAAAAACATAAAATGATAATTTTTTGACTGCATCAATGCTCCCCTGGTGGAATAATCTCCTCCTGATGAGAATGCTTTGGTAATACATTGATATATATATCAAGACGACGACATTGCAACTCTACAGCATCAATCCAAGAATAATCAATCAAAGGATGTCCACTTCATTTTATTAAGAATCGTCGATGCGCTTCATGTCTTGTCTAGGTAAAATGAATATCTATCACATAATCAATAAGATCATAATAGTATTGAATTAGAACAACAAGGGGAAAAGTCTCTATGTTCATAGAATCAATCGGTTGTCCTTCATATACAGTAATATCAACAACTTTATGCTAAACAATCTTTCGAAATATTTCCAAAATCTTTTTTTTTTTATGAAGGTGCACCCTCTCTGCATCCTACAATAGAATATCATATTTCCTTCTTACCTTCTCTTTCTCTTGTTCATACTCTGACTAAAGTAGTAGTTTCTTATTTTCATGTTTTTGAGTACATTAATATTGTTGTCTTTGCACTCTAAATATTTCATTATGTATTGGATCGGTAGAAATTGCTTGAATAGGAACCCATTCTATTGATGGAAAGTTATGGATTAATTGGTTTGGTTCATCTGGATGAATGATAGTGCTTCCCTAATGCTCCAATGCATTATTAATGACAAATATTTTTGGGGTCTCATAGGATGAAGGTTATTCTTAGGAATTCACTGAATAGATGACTTGCTTTCAAAAACTACAACCTCAATTACATATTGAATTTGAACTTTGACTTGTTGATTGTTTTGATTGTCCATATTGTTTTTAAGAGAAAGGAAGTCTTACCCAACAACCTAAAGCTCTGATATCAAATTGATGCAAGTTAGGTTCTAAAATCAAATATAAGAACATTAGGAATATAAACAAGACGCTTTCTTTCAATATCACATAAACAGACATAAATGATGGAAACTAAGTAGGAAACAAATCTTAAAAAATAGTTAGGAAGACGCACAAGAAACCAAACAACTAAATCAAAATATCTCAGAACAATCATGTGTGGTCATCTCACATGCAGATCCCAAAATTGAAAAAAGATGCTTGAAGGAAAGGACAAACCAGAGATCCACCATAGAAATTATAATCGATAGGGATGTCAATTTCGGGTAAACTGACCCGGTACTATTCGGATCAACCCGAACCCGACCGCTTCTGGTTCGGGTCAACCCGACCCTACCCGAATGACCCGATTCAGACAAAAAACTGCTAGTTTTCGGGTCCAAAAATGGATTAAACTCTGCTTTTAGGGTCAAGAACAGGTCAATCTCGGGTTCCCAGGTCAAAAACAGGTTTTCGGGTCAAAAACGGATCATTTTTGGGTCAATTTTGGGTTGACGGGTCAACCCGAACCTGACCCGATTTTTGAAATGGGTCGAATTATTGAACCCGAACCCGTTCCATTTCGGGTTCGAGTCAACCCAAACCCGAAATTTTCGAGTCGGGTCAAATATTGACACCCCTAATAATCGAGCTCAGGCCAATGCTTCTCCAACAATTACTAAAAGAACATGGCACAACTCACCTTTCATCCCTAAACTGCAAGCTGCTTTGAATTTAGGTGGAAGGATCAACATTTTGAGGAAGAGGACAATGCAAATGCACAACTTTTTTTTTTTTTTTTTTTGAAAAAATACTGATGTTTTAGTTTAATTCTTTGTGAGTTTTCTCTAAATTGCAAAATTTAATTTTATTAGCTCTTAATTATTAAGGCACATATTTTAAAAATTCATCGTGCAAATTTCATCTATTGTCTCTTATTTGATTAACTTCTGTGACTATCTTGGCATCCATAGTGAAATGATTCGTAGACAGTCTTAATCAACCATCACTTCCTGCTCCCTTGCTCTGACATTAAATTGTTAACCACATATAATTAGCTTCAAAAAGCCCAGCAGGTCACCAAAAACCTACAATTGAATTCAAAGCACGGTACGGAAGTAATATGCATGTCAATCACTCAAATCAACATCAGTCACTTACACATGATAGTTGAATCAATGCAAAATCATAAGTCATGTAGAAACGGAAATCAATGCTTATACAGTAATCAGTACAACAGTAGTCATATAAAAACATGTGAAACCATACTCAGCAGTAGAAGAATAAAAAAATAGTATAAATTAAAGTTTGTATAATTCAATGAATCAATACGTGCGTCAAATTTCTATAGTAGTCGTCGTATCAATAACACAAGTCAATACAGTAAACAAATCATCATATCCAAATCTCAGTTAAATCATTAAGGAAATCTTCGTATCGGTAATAAATCATTCAAATCCATCAATACATCAATATAAATGTCAAATCAATACTGTCGTTCATGACTGTTGAAATCAAATCAATGAAATAAAATCATAACATCATTTGAAAACAGTTGGAATCAATCAATGCCGTAGAATCGTATCAAAATGTACACTTGCAATTCAATTATCCAATATTACATGCTCAGTGAATCACATGCAATCCAGTAATCTATATCACATGTTCAGTTAATCATATGTCACTTACACAGTATATCACGTGCATAATGTAAATAAAGTGAATCAGTAGTATCAGTGCCTTTATCAGTATCAGTACAATCCAGTGACATGAACAGTAATGGTATAACAGTGAAATAATGCATCAATAGTAAATCCGTACAGTAACGATAAATACAACAGTATCAATAAATCCGACAGTATCAATAAATCCGACAGCATCAATAAATCCGTACAGTAGCAGTAACAATACTGCTAAACATGCAATTCAGTACAATAGTCATACAGAGCAAGTAAAAGCACTGGCTATTAAGGTGTTTTTCAATCTTGTATCTTGTATCTGTTGGTTCAGTAAAAAGAGTCGCCACTTTTTGCCTGTCGGCACAATAATCATCTCCTTATAACTCCCTTCAGTAATCACGTGATCAGTAGAGAGTAACAATACTGCTAAACATGCAATTCAGTACAATAGTCATACAGAGCAAGTAAAAGCACTGGCTATTAAGGTGTTTTTCAATCTTGTATCTTGTATTCGTTGGTTCAGTAAAAAGAGTCGTCACTCTTTGCCCGTCGGCACATTAATCATCTCTTTATAACTCCCTTCAGTAATCACGTGATTAGTAGAGGATAACACCAAACCATATTTAAAGGAAAGCCCGTCGGCCCACCATCCTGTACAGGTCAATCAGTCTGACAGTTTCCAACCAACGGTTCAACCAGTCTTTACTTGTCTTTCATACACACAGTACACAGTAGTATCAACAATTTCAATCATATACCCACATTCATTAGCATTTTATCAACACATTCCAACCAATAAACATGATTTCAGCTCAATGTAAAAAACTCCTTAAAATATCGTATAGTAGACATAAGTCGTTATAAAATGTATAGTTTCAGAAAATTATCAAATTACTAGAACTCGTGTAAAATAACATTTTAAGACTTTACTTGTACTGAATCAATATTTTTCAACATCCGGATCATTTTTTATTCGATTAAAACTCCGTAGAATTCAAAATATCGGAGGAAAACTTCCGGAAAATACTCAAATTGTGCAATAACATCATTTCCATAACATACCAAAAGTTACGTGGTAAAAGTTTAGTCAATACAAAGATATGCACGTTTTTCGGTAACAGAAACACAAAACTGAGCAGAAAAATACCAAAACACCAAATCTTCGAAATCAGAAATAGGATTCAGATTCCTTACTGCAAGACAAACAAATCTTCCAACTGCGTCGTCTGACGAAAATCGCTCCGCAGCTTCCGAAATCAAGCTTTTTCTCTTCTTTTCCCTTCTCTTTCTCTCTCCAGCTTTTCATCTCTCTTCAAAATATCTCAAATCCGATACTTATCAAACAGGATTGTCCTGGACGATTTCTATTCGTCCCGGGACGATTTGCCCTATGGACGAATTTTCGTTCAAACGAAGTGTATTCGTCCCTGGACGACTTGCTCTCCGGACAAATTTCGTCCCGACGGATCGCCCCGACTCGTACAGGTTCGTCCAGACGAACCATACAGATTCTTCACAATTTTCTTCAGTTCGTCCCGCACTAAGGCCAGTTCGTCCGGACTAACAGCACTCACAAAAATGAAATTTTGAGGGGTTTTACAACTTCATCAAAATTTATGAATCAATTTTCATAGATCGCTTCTTATTCAAAAAGATAATATACAACAGATCTATAAATGGTTAATTATATAAAATCATATGTTATGATTTTTTTTTTAAAATTTAAATTCAATTATCTTATTATGCCCATTTCTATCTTATTTAAGTTCTTTTGAACTAGATAGTTCATAAGAAAATTATATATGATAAACCTTAATGAACAGTTGAATCAAAATATTTTCATCATATTGTCATTTAGTTAGCTTTTTTTTTTATAAATATTTTTGCACAAAGGCATTTGTTGTCCCTCCTTCACCTCTACTTATGCTGACTATGGCATATATTTATTTTATCCATGGATTATGCCAATCATATTTTCTTTGTTCTAAATATTTTAATACACAATGTTATAGTTGTATTAGATTAATTTATTTTTAATATTTATGCATGTAAATTTTTACTAGTATTTATAAATAATTTGAGTCCTTTTCACTCGCTTGAGAGGTGGTCCTAATACTCATATCCGTTTATCGTATCTCCTATAAATATGTTCTAAGCAGAAAAAAACCTAGACAGCCAGCCGCAAAGGCCGCTCTTGACGGAATTTCTACTCGCTTGCGCCCTAGGGCATCCAGTTGCCTTGGCTCTGCAGCCGCCACCCGCCGCGCGTACGCGTCTGCTCATCCATTGAGCCCGCGTGCTCCCCATATTTATGCGCATTCTTCTTTGCCTCGCCCTCTGTTCTCTCGGCACCGTCCCTAGACAGCTCCACGAGTCCTTCCGGCGCCGCCTGCAGCGAATCCCAGCAGCTGCGCCAAGTCTCTTACATCGCCTTGCCTTCGGACCGCGCTAATCCTCTCGCTTCTTCTGCTCGCGTGCTTCGTCCACAGCCTGTCTTACAGCGCCCTAGCTGCTGCCGGCCATGATGTTTTCCTGCAGCAGACGCCTGTGCCTTGTGTCATCAATGCCCTGCTTTGTCTCCACGCACACGCATTTTCCAGCAATCTCTAACCATTTCACGGGAATCCGGTTGCCGCTGCTCCGCTTATGTGCGCACGCTACTCCGATCTTTTCTGCTGCTCTGCACACCGCAGATGTTTATTGCAGGATATAAACTTTTTTATATTTTATCTCAATCCTAAACTGACTTTTGAGTTGTGGTAAGATGACTCTAGTAGTGGTGTAAATTGCTTGGTTATCTTGATACAATTAGCTCAGAATTTGGAAATTTATTTTTGATTTTATTTGCCAAATAGGTTTTCCCTTGGGTCTTTTAGCATCATCTGATATTCACTCCAAGATTGGTTCAATCCTAGGCTATGCATTTTTTTCTTCCACATTGATTTAAGGATAGAGTCTGTTCTCATTGTTCATAATTTCATCACACGTCAACAAAATTTGAATGCTGATATTTAAAAAAATTATAAAGACATTTTTTAGCCATTTTAAAACTATTTAATTTGGTTAGCTTTTAAATTTTTTGATAAATTAATGGTGAAAGATGTTGAAATAAAATGAAATTTCTTCTTCTAAAAAGCTACTTGTCTATCTTTATGCTCATTTGTCCAAATTCCTCATACTTTGATGATTCAACCATCTTAAATTTAAGTCTGATTTGGCATCTAACTAAACAACCCCTAAATTTGAATTTATCACATCGGGATCACAATTCATATGGAGCAACAAATTCTCATGAAACATCAACGGATGGATCAAGTTTGGGCAAGCTCTGATTCCGTGACTAAACTTAGTACATTCTTATCGACCTTGCAGACAAGGATTAAGGGGCATTGGGCCGGTATGAATATCTGTTCTTCCGCCTCTACATTTTCAAAGATATTGTTGAATATGCTTAATTAGTTCATGTTAATTTATAATTCAAATTGAAAGAAGTAAAACTGAATTAGAATAATTTTTTTAGTTGAATAAACTTTGTTACTAACTAAAGAACATCTTTGATTGCTCTAAGCCTGTTACATAACAATTTCCTCATGTCCAGAAGAAACAACCATTTTTTACTAAACATGTCTTTTTAATCCAATGAACTTTCAGATGGGCCCAAAACAATTCATGAGGTCCCCTCAATGGAATTTAATTTTGTGATCTTCTATTGCCAATCCTGGTTGGATTTCATTTATTATTTTAGCGTTCACACTTTGTGTTGGTATGATATATGTAGTTTGTTTTTCTCTAGATTTATTCTTGAAATAATGCTTGTATGAAAGGTAGAAAATGATGAATTTAAATGGGTCATTGTATATGAGATGGATGTGATGAAGATGTCATCTTTTGCATTGATCACCGGATGAAAATTCGGTGGCATGAAAATCTTTCTAATGGTTCGTATTCGCTGAGCACCCATCTCTATTGCTATGATTTTTTGTTTTTGTTTTTGGTTTCACCATATGCGAAGGTCCTATAGAGGAATCATTTTATATTTCAGTGTGATATCATCTAAGTTTGCCTTCGAATAGTAAGTGAATTCATAAATTTTGATTTTGAGTTTTATTTGGTAGATCAAATCTTATCAGACATGGATTTCAAACAAATTTTGAAGGTTGTAGTCAGTTATTTGTGGACTTTTTTATCCAGTATTTGGCCGAGTTTACTTTAGAATATAGGATTTCACAATCCTCTTTAGTTTGAACTTTCTATTTATTAGTAAATTTGTGCTTGTAGGATTTTTTTGGTGGGCAAACGATGAATCTTGACGTTAAATGGGTAATTTGCATCTGAGGTTTTAATTTCCATTGATGCTACCACTTTGGAATTCTGATGCCTTTTTTATTTCGATTTTTCCTTGGGGTATTTTGTGTATATTTCGGCTAGCTCGATGCGGAATGGAGTGAGGTGATGAGCAGTAAATTATTTCCTTATTGGTTTGATGACCAATATGATGGCTACAATTTTATTAGCTCTATCTGATCGCTCTCCTCCATTGAATAAAGGTATGTCAGTTGTGGAAGCTTTAGGCTTTGTTTGGGATGGATTTTTTTACTCCTTAAAACAGCTTTTTAATGAAAAATTAATTTTGTTTTGTAGTAGAAAGCTATTTTAAGGAGTAAAAAAATCCATCCCAAACAAAGCCTTAATCAATTAATCTTTTCCATTTATTGCTAGTTGAGTATTTTTTGAGCGCTCATCTCTATTGCTATGATCATTCATGTTTTTTTAAAGCTAGGGTCCTGTAGAGGAATCTTTATATATATTTAAGTGCCATATCATCTAAGTTTGCCTTCTATTAGAAATTGAATTTTGAGACCAAATTTGTTGATTGAATTAAAATTAGTTTTTGATAAGTTAAATTATGCGCTTTGTTTTTGAAAATATTATTTGGGTTATAAAGGGGAAGGTGAAGGTCCCAGCAGAGGGGATGGATCTCCAGCGTTGAGTCCTCTCTAACAATTGCAATAAATCCTTCACAAATGAATGAATTTGAGCCGATTTGTAAGACACTTTGGATTTGTGTTATGGGTTTCATTGCGTCTAGAAAAGCGGCTATATAAAATTCGCATTTGGAGATGATTTTTCAGCTATAATGATAAATGATTGTTTCTATACTTCAGAGTATCTTTTGCTTTCTAGTGTTTTTATCACGGGAGTCCAAATGTCTGCCATGGCAATTCATATTTTTGTGTGAGCAATTTTTTAGCATGCTATTGGAGGGTTATTTTTTCTAGGTTCTTTTATGGTTCAAATTTGTTTACATTTTCAATTTCTTTTATCTGCCTTTATGCTTCCTCCTTGTATAAGTTGTTAGGATTTAATTTTGACATGTAGGTTTTTTATTGGAAAGTTCATTTTGGTTTTATTTGGGACAAATTTTTTATTACTTCCTAAAATAATTTTATAGTATAAAAATTTTAAATTTAAAAAATTTTTGTACTTAAAACTGTTTTGGAATGCTGTTAGAAAATTGTCCCAAACAAAATCTTTATATTATTACTACTTCTAACTTCTCGCCCTCAAATTAATCAAGAAGCTTCAACACAAGCAGTTATAAAATCGCATTACCTGTAACATTCTTAGGTCACCTCTTTGTGTTATTAGGGAGTTTGAGTTAAAGAATAAGTTGAAAATCCTTGCAATTATGAGAATTCAATCGAGGCCTTGTTTTAGCTTTAGGTCTGTCAGATTTAAAGGGTGGACTTTTTATTTGTGATAGAAAGATAATGTTGAAAGATCCGCATATATGCTTCTCTGACCGGCTTTTTGTTGTGATCTCCATGCACCAATTTCGTCCCTAAATCAGCTTTGCAGCCAATTAGATTTGGAAAGATTTGTTATAGTACCATCAAAGATTTGAGAGAGTATCTAACAAATATGCTTCGATTTGAAAAATCAATTTCTAGTGTATGAATCAGCGTTATAATTTGGGGAGATTCATCAAGGTGAGTATTCAGGAACAAAACATCTTATTTCTCTTGAAAGAAAATGGCAATCCTTAGACTTATTTCAATGATTATATCATGGAAACATCAGAGAATTGCAATAATTTTTAAAAGATGTCGACATGAGTTGCATATTTAAATTTATTACAGGCTTGAATATTAAATTGATGAAGTTTGTGGACAAATCATTGGAAGAAATCCCTTTTCACTAATCGGAGAAGTCTTCGCAGTAGTATGGAGAGAGGAAAGTTACAAACAAAATGATATTTGGAAAAAGAATCAGTATGATTAAGTTGCTCATGTGGGTGAGTTTACATTGGCCATTAATGAAGCATAACGCAATTGCAGAATAAATCAGAATCAAGAATGTAGACAAGAATAACCTTTGCTTTAAATACCATGTTTAATCCCGTCACACCAGGGAAACATGCTACATATGCTACATGATAAATCATCTAGCCAAACCTAACGAAAGAAGTATTCCCACATCTGAAGTTGAATCGTCTAAGGAAAGCCACCTCTTGCGGTTGTAGGTCATCTGTTGCTTGTGTTTTAGTTAAACTTGATGTCTCCAAACAATACTCTGACAGAATTGGGGTCGGACCTGATGGTTTCAGTTACATTCAGTCTGTTGTGTTGGAGGACTTTCCCTCTTATTGTTCTCATTACAAATCTTTGGGACATTTGATTTTGGAATGTTGGATTTTACACCTACATCTTGATAAATGTCGGATTTTACACCCACATCTTGATAAAAAGCCTACAATTAACCCTCTAGCGGGGGAGAACTACTATTGATTTGTGCGGCAATGACTTCGTTGAGTTAACAATGCATGGTAATGTGGATAACTTGGTAACTAGGCTTATGGTGCCTTCATTACTTGTTTGTGACTCGAATGTGCCTTAGTTTCGGCCATCTCTGTCTCCGTCTGCTATGCATGTTGTCGGTTCTTTTTCTGAGAATAATGTTGTTATTTTTTATGAGATGGCCGGAAATGAAGTGCTGGTTCATGATGTTAACAATTCTAATATTCTTTGTGCTACTCTTTTTGATCAGGGGGATGTTGAAGGTATTCGTGCTGATGGTGCTAATAACTTGTCTTTAATTGCTGCTTGTGATCATCAGGTTGTGGTATCTCCTGTTGTTGTTGAGAAGACTACTTTGAAATGTGAACTTAATCATGAGATCTTGGATGTTGTAAATGTGGATTTTTGTGACCTTAATAAGGTTGATTTGAATGATTCTTCTAGCAAATTGGTGATTGTTTTAGGTGTTTATCATTTGGATGAAATGACTATCACCTAATGTTGTCAATGCGAATGAAAAATTGGCCTTTATTGATGTCCCAATCTCTCTTATTTCTGATGATGCCTTGAGAGCCCATCTGGCTTTAAATTCAAAGGATTCTTGTGTTCATCATTCTAATTGATTGGATGAGTGTTTCTCATCGGCTAGTCAGGGTGATGGGGAAGATGAGGTTGAGCATGACAATGATTTCTAAGATTTGTTTGGATTGAATGTGGTTCACATCAATGGAGTATTTTCCAATGGTGTTGCTAAATGTTGTTGGCAAAAAATAAAAATAAATCTAAAAAGAAGTTATGGCTCTATATGCTTGCTTATTTGGTTGGGTTGTGTCTTTGTTCTGTCAATTGAGGTGTTCTTGTTGGCGGCAAGGTTGTAGGGCGTGGGATGCTTGTCATTCTTCATGTCTACTTGGTTTTTGGGCTCGGACAATGAAGTCACAGGTTTGACCTCTCTATTTATTAGTTAATTTGTGCTTGTAGGATTTTTTTGATGGCAAATGATGAATCTTGATGTTAAATGGGTAATTTGCATCTGAGGTTTTAATTTCCATTGATGCTACCACTTTGGAATTCTGATGCCTTTTTTATTTCTTGCTCGATGTGGAGTGGAGATGATGAACAGTAAATTATTTCCTTATTGGTTTGATTACCAATATGATGGCTAAAATTTTATTAGCTCTATCTGATCGCTCTCCTCCATTGAATAAAGGTATTTTTGAAATTTAAAATTTGTTTTTGATAAGTTAAATTATGCGCTTTGTTTTTTAAAAATATTACTTGGGTTATAAAGGGAAGGTGAAGGTCCCAGCAGAGGGGATGGATCGCTAGCGTTGAGTCCTCTCTAACAATTGCAATAAATCCTTCACAAATGAATGAATTTGAGCCGATTTGTAAGACACTTTGGATTTGTGTTATGGTTTTCATTGCGTCTAGAAACGCGGCTATATCAAATTTGCATTTGGAGATGATTTTTCAGCTTTAAAAATATTTTTCATTTCTTTTATTAATCTCTTTTGTTTTTTTTGAGATTCTTAGTAGTGATGAAGGATTGTTTGTAGACTTCAGATGTATCTTTTGTTTTCCAGTGTTTTACTCACGAGAGTCCAAATGTCTGCCTTGGCAATTCATATTTTTGTGTCAGCAATTTTTTTAACATGCTATTGAATGTATATTTTTTGATAGTTTCTTTTATGGTTCAAGTTTGTTTATTTTTTCAATTTCTTTTTTCTGCTTCCTCCTTATATAACTTGTTAGGATTTAATTTTGACATGTAGGTTTTTTATTGGAAAGTTCATTTTGGTTTTGTTTGGGATAATTTTTTTATCACTAAAAAAAAAAATTTCTAGTATTAAAAATTCAAATTAATTTTTTTTTACTAAAAATTATTTTTAAAAGCATTTAGAAAATTGTCCCAAAAACTATTTTTTTGCTTCCTCCTCGGTTGGCTTCCCGAACTAGTAAGAGAATTGGGGAAGACACAATAGATACAATCCGTCGAATGAATGGTAGGGTTTTTTATTTCTTCGGTTTTGTATAAGCTTATTTTTTTATCACTAAAAAAAAACTTTATAGTATTAAAATTTCAAATTAATTTTTTTTTTTTACTAAAAATTGTTTTAAAAAGCATTTAGAAAATTGTCCCAAAAACTATTTTTTTGCTTCCTCCTCGGTTGGCTTCCCGAACTAGTAAGAGAATTGGGGAAGACACAATAGATACAATCCGTCGAATGAATGGTAGGGTTTTTTATTTCTTCGGTTTTGTATAAGCTTACCTGAGCCGTCCTATCTTCAGTGAATTGTTCAAAATATATCGCAGATGAACCGGCCAATAATCTGAAAACGGGACCGGTTTTACTGTTTGTTCGAACAATTCCGAGCTAGTTCTATGTAATACCGGTTTTGAAGCAAATCAGAACGGGCTGGCCTTCCTGTTCGAGGTTAATCTTCATGGTTTTCGTATCCTCTTTTTTATTTTTATTTTATGGCATTGGAGCTAGAGAATGATTCATAGGTTGTTGTACTTCATTATTTAGGCGCTGAACAAACCCTTCGGTCGCGGTTCTGTCTTTACTCCTTATGCTGCCCAGTATAACCAAGTTACTTCAACTTGTCTACCTTCATTCGAACATCAATCAATTCAAAGCTCTCCCCTCTCCCTCAATTAAAATCATCACAATCTGATTGAATAAGGATGATTTTCTTTGTTGGGCCCAATTGGTTCGAAAGGGCATCAAAAGGAGAGGTGAAATCGTTTACAATATCAGAGATGTAAAGGAACCTGAAATGAAGGTTGCAAAGAACTCATTGATAAGGATAGGGTAGTTAACTACATGATTGAAGAGATGTGAAAATTATCTTGTTATAGTACCATCAAAGATTTGAGATGATATATCTCACAAATATGCTCGGATTTGAGAAATCATTTTCTAGTGTATGAATCAGCCTTATGATTTGGGGAGTTTCATCAAGTTGAGTATTCAGAAACAAAATATCTTACAAATGAATACATCTAGTGTATGAATCAGCCTTAAATACAACAAGATGTAACCTTTTTTTGGAAATAATAGAATATGTACTACAAATGAATCATCTTCACAGCTGAGCCTCATGTTTTTGTAAGGAAGAAATTCCCCAAAAATATTATTGCTCTAATTGTTTTTGAAGTAGATATCATATCTGTTTATTGAGAAAAAGGATTCATGTAGTCCACCTCATGTATATCGTGTCTGTTTCTGTCGGTAGATAGTTTTGTTTCTTAGGGTAATATTACTCTCACTTTTTTCTTCTAATCTTGAATTGCCTATTGAATTTAGGAAGGAAACCTAAATACTCTATATGATGAAATTTCATTTATAAAGTTCAAGAGCATATGTGTATACTATCTCTAATTTTTTTTTTTTAACTATTTAGAAAGCATTTGATGAACCTAATTGGAAATTGGTAGTGATGGAAATTGGTAGTTCCGGTCTTGGTCGGGATGTCGGGACACGCAGTAAAGAGTAACAGCATGTGGCGATATTTTATTGGCGTCCAGATATAGAGCTATGTCAGGCGTCCGGATCTAATAAAAATTCCTTCAAATGACCTTTATCCATATGAAACATTTTAACCCAGACAATGACATTTGTTTTTTTTTTTTAATTTAATGTTGTCATAAATAATTTTGTTTAGATGATCATTTCTGCACTATCGAAATTTATGATAATATGTAATAGAATTATAATTATTCTTGGTTATGCAAAAAAAATTAACTTATCAGGCATTAAACAACAAACATCACTAAGCTTGATCTCAATATGTTAAAAATTGATTTGCATATTATTTTTGTTGTATTGGAGTATTGCCTTTTTTTTTCTTGGAGTAATAATTCAAATGGGTTTTAGATTATTATATGTTAAATTGATTCAAGAATTTTTTGCGTGTCAAATTTTGTCTATTGGCTTGTCAAATTTTTGCTTCTCTCTCTCATATTTGGAATTGATTGGAATTAGTGATGGGGGTCTTCAGTTGGGATAATTTTTTATCTTTATTTTTTTGCTGCTTTTAAGATTTTCATTTTAGAAAATTATTTTAAAAGATAATAAAAAATTGTCTCGAACGAAGTCTAAGAGTATAAACAATTTTTAATGTTTGGCAAGTGAGATAATGGGAGGAAAAAAAAAATTGAATTTGTTAAGTTGAGATATTAACATTAAGAAAATATTTGGAGTAAATTAGATGCACTAATCAATACATAATTCTTTTATATAATAAGAAGTATATTATAGAATCCTATTATTAAAATAATTTATATGATATAGAATAACAAATTTGTATTGCGATACTCAAACATTTTATTTCTACTTGGTCAATCCAAATAGTCCATATAACGCTAATGATGAAAAATGATGATGTTATTCATGTACAAGCTTTATGTATTTGAATTCTCAGACCATAATGGCATTGCAATGTCAAGCACTTAAAATAAAGAAAATATAGTATTTGAAATCTCAAAGCATGGAGTCATTGTACGGAGAAATTATTACGTGCCGAGTTCGGAGTACATATAAAATGTGTATTATATATATATTTTGTATACAACTTATTCATATGATGTATACAAGCCACTTGACTTGTAAGCATTGGAGTCCAGACATCAAAACTCCATACGTAATAAGTTTTTCATTGCATGATGTTTAAACCGGATCCAAATCAAGATCTCCATTGAATCTGAACTTAATAGAATCACAAATGTGAACAAAGAGAGTTCCAATAAATGATTCAAGCCTGTCAAAGTTGTAGTTTAAGGCTTCGTTTGTGTTAGTTTATTTACTGCTCTCTAAAACCAACTAGAAGTACAAATTTCTTAGGATTCGTTTGGGACGGCTTTCTTTCTGCTTCTTAAAGCGGCTTCATAGTATAACAATTTTAATTTTTGTACTAAGAAGCTGTTTTAAGAAGTAATAAGAAAGCCATCCCAAATGAAATTTTAGTTTAAAGAATTTTTATACTAAAAATTTGCTTTCAAAGAGTTTGCACCTACTTAAAGGTGCCTCTTCCCCTATTGATTCATTCATCAAGAATCATAGCACATGTCCTTCTAGCTAGATACTTATCAATATGCATGATTTATAGATTGTCTTTGCTAGCAACTGCTGTTATATTTTTGGCATTTGATATTTTTTACTTATCACATGTCTTCTGACTCTTAGTGTTCTGCCACCCAACGGTTAAGCACTTGCATGTTATGCGATCCAGCTTTTGTTTAAAATTTCTTAAAATGATGGGTTGCTCATAGGAAGTCATGATGTTCATCAACAAGCTAGTGGACAAATATATTGGGTCTTGGCCTTGCAGTTTGTACTTCAGCTCTCAACTATGAGGTCAGGGTTTCTATTTTTACTCCCCGCACTTTACCCCGCGAGAAAATAAAAACTTATTTGTAGACAAATTGTAACAACCAAAATTCTTAACTATCAAGATATTGTCCGTTTTGATCTAAGAGCCTCACAATTTTGTCATGTTGGTGTAACTTCTAGTAGGTTACCCACCCCAAAATTGCTCCGGGATGAGCATGCTTAACTGCGGAGTTTCTTAAATAAAATTTCAAGCATTAAACCAAAAGATGACTCGATGTTTAAGAGTTAAGCTTCTTTTACTTAAGGGGTTTCACAAAAATAATGCATTCATTCAATAAAGATAAGTAGGGTTTTTCTTTCTATCATATATTTATTTGTGTTTTGATTTGGGTTAACACATCTATGTTTTTATATCATATGAACCTATATATGTATGATTATATTTATATGTTCTGAAATAAAATGTCTTGGAAGAACTGTAATTTGTTGGATCATTTCTTTGCTCTTGTTGGTTAGAGTCAAGCTCGAAGTGAAGTTCATGAGCATGCAAATCTCGGTTCAACATCAAACCAGTAACAATGCTAATCTCACTACTCAACACAGCTATATAGATTCTTCACGCAAGTAACACTAAGGCTTTGTTTGTTTTTTTACTAGAAAGTTGCTTTGAAAAGCAGTAAGAAAGCCATCTCAAACGAATCCTAAAACTTCTTTTGAGACTTAAATTTGTGTTGAATTTAAATTTTGTTGAAACTTCTACAGATCTGAAAGGGTTGAAAGACAGCCTGTTTAATTTAAAAAGTATTTGTGGAGGAGACCTTTTATAAAGGACTGCAACGCTCTATTTTTTTTTGGGAAAATTTTGGGCATTGCCCTTTCCATTAACTATGAAATAGTTACATGTAAAAAAAAACTGTAAAGGAAAAACTAAGGCCAAAAGCCAGGAACCAATGGTAGGGCAACAACAAAAACCCCACAGCTGCAAGAAAACTAACAAAATATCAATTCAAAGCAGAAAAAGAAGCAAAAAAAGAGAACCAATCAGGTGGGAGGCAACAAGCCCCGGGCTCAGGAATTGCCGCTCTCACAACCTGGTTGCAAAAATAAAGATCCCAAAATTCTGCCCTCCAAAGGGGAAAATGGCAATCCAATCATCATAGCACATTAATCAACAAACCAATGCGCCAGCACATAAATCAGATTGCCGAAGAAAGGCAGTCAGCCGAATACTTTCCAAATCAGAAGCCTCAAACTAATTGCCAAAACAACTCATACACAGCACTTGCAGCTCCACCCGCATAAAACTTATAACAAATCCCACAGAGAATCTCTAGTTTTCCATTTCAAAATTCTAGAGAAAACAACAGTTTTGATTTTGATAGCTAAGGAAGAAGACGAAGCAACAGAGCCTCCGAATTTCCTATCATTCCTTTCTCTCCAAATGTGATAAACCGCAGCACAAATTAGAAGATAGTAAAAATCTTTGTTTTTATCATGTGTGTCTTCAATATACTCAAATATTTGCAATATATTAGGCCTAAGCAGTAAGAAACCAAGATTCCTCATAAGGTTTGATAGAATAGTGAACGAATAATCACACTCGAAGAATAAGTGACTAACGGTTTCAGTATTGTAATGGCAAAATGAGCACAGAGGATCCACAGTAATACCCTTAGCCAACAGACAATCAGCGGTTTTCAATCCTCCCGAAATAGCCATCCAGCAAAAGGAAGAGAATCTAATAACAAACCTTTTATGCCACACAAATTTCCACCAATTAACTCTTGCCATGTTTTTATAATAAAACTCCCTGTAATCTCTGTGTGAGCATTTCTTACCATTTCCATTTCCCCAGTACAAGTTATCATGAGAGCCTAGTAACACAGGGAAATCAGAAAAAGCATTGTGCACGGGACTTGGCAATGAAGCAGGCAAAGCCCAAACACTCCCATTAATAATGGCAGAAATTCTTTCATTCACGGGAAATAATGCAAGGATAGGTCTCATAACTAAAATGTCACAAAGACATTTATCATTAAACCAGTGATCCCAATAAAGAGCAAAGTTAGAGCTAGCAGAAACTCTAAAGTGAAATTTTTCTTTGGCAATAATAGCATCCTTGTAGACATTTTTCCAAAACTTAGAAGCTTTAGTCATAGGTTCCTTCCACGGGGAGGTGTATAAATTAAACAGCCATAAGCTTAAGGGACTCTGATAATTATAAATTCTAGTGATCAGGGAGCAGTTATAGCTGAATTGTATCGACTGCAAAGATGGTAAGCTAATGCCACCCTGCTCTTTCGGCCTACAGGTATTTCTCCAGGAGATTAAGTGCAACTTTTTGGCTTTTGAGTCACCAAAATAAAGAAACTTAGCACATAATCTATCTATTTGCTTAATAATAGATTTTGGTATAATGCCACCGCGGATCCAGTAGGCTATCAAATTCCAGATAGTGAACCTAAGGAATTGAAGCCTGCCAGCAAATGATAGAGCTTTAGCCTTCCAACCAGATAACTTATTAATGACATTTTCCATAAGTTTAGAGAAGCTAGCAATTTTCGGGTTATATGGAGATAGAGGAATGCCAAGATAGCACATAGTAGTAGAGGAGGTAGATATATTGAGTGAAGAGCATATGTCTGATGCTATGGCACAATTGGGTGGCAATATAATAGAACTCTTAGCAAAATTCACCTTTAGACCAGAGGCCTGAGAGAAATGTGAGAGAATTTGGGACAGAATATTACAATTGTTGAGATCCGCTTTTCCAAAGATAATTAAGTCATCAGCATACATCAAGTGGGACAGCCGAAAATTCCCAAAACAGAGAGCTTCAAAGCAGTTGTCCTGAAGATTGCTATCCAACAAGCAAGAAAGTGCATCCATCACTATACAAAAAAGATAAGGGCTTAATGGACACCCCTGCCTTAGCCCAGAGTTAGAAGGGAAGAACCCTTCCAAAGCCCCATCAATGCATAATGAAAACCAGACATCCATAATACAGGCTTCTATCCATTTAACAAACATAAGAGGAAAACCTTTTTGCACCATCCTGGCAATAAGAAATTCTTTAGATACACTATCAAAGGCTTTCTTAATGTCAAGTTTGATGCACATAATCTTGAATTTCGAAGATTTCCTAGAGAACTGGAGATTTCATTAGCAAGAAGGATATTATCCGTGGAAATCCTGTTATGGATGAAGCCAGCTTGGTTTTCTTTTATAATATTGGGCATAATATGCTTCAACCTATTGGCTAAAACTTTTGCAATGATTTTATAAGAGGTATTGCAAAGAGCAATAGGTCTAAAATCTGAAACAGACTCGGCGTGGCTAGATTTCGGAATAAGAGTAATAGCTGTGGCTTTAGCTGAACGGGGAATAAATGCTTTATGATAGAAACCTTTTACAACATTGCAAACCGTGGAAGCAGTAACAACCCAAGTGGATTTAAAGAACTCAAAGTTGAACCCATCCGGTCCAGGAGATGAGTTAGAATCACCAGAGAAGACAGCTTTTTTAATTTCATTATCTGTAAAAGGAGAAGTAAGGGAGTTAATGAAATCAGGAGGGATTACATTACCAGGAGGGAAAAAATTAATTTCAAAACCCAGGTTCAGAGAGCCATTGAAAAGGGTTTTGAAGTAAGAAATTGATTCCTTGATAGCATCAGATATAGAGGTGTCTGGACCAGACATAGCCAAGGAAATTGCAGTTTTTTTATAGCTCCTCCTCAAACGAATCCTAGAATAAAGGAATTTGAGGTCATCTTCACCCTGAGCTAGCCATTTAATTTTTGCCCGTTGGTTGACCCAAGAATACCACATAAAATTAGCATCCTCCAACTGTCTATTAATATCTTTGAGCTCAAGGGAGGAAAAAGAGAGATCATGATCCGTACCCAAACTATTAAGACACTCCAATTGTTTTTCTTGAAGATGCTTAATATGCTCAGCCATAAAATTGGAATTAGCCCATCGTTTACTCTTGACAGCAAGTTTCAGTTGCTTGAGTTTGAAACAAAGATCAGTGAGTGGATCACCTACAGCTTTAGCTGCAAAGATGTCAAATAGCAACAACCAGAATTGTTCACATTTAATCCAAAATTTTTTGAAAAGAAACCGATGGTTGTTAGAATAATTGCCTATGGAATTGAGAATAATCGGACAATGGTCAGATCCCTCTGGATTTTTAATAACATAATAAGAGTCGGGAAAAGAAGGTAGCCAGTGTTCATTAATCAACATACGATCTAATTTGATGTGAATAGGTTTGTCAGTCCTCTGGTTATACCAAGTAAAGGATGGCCCAACAGATGCCAAATCCTTGAGATTGATGTCGAAAATAACACTATTAAAATCATACAACTGAGCTTGATGAAGTAGGTTTCCACCTAATTTCTTTGAAGGAAACCGACAACAATTGAAATCACCCATTAGAATCCACGGTGTGCAACCAGAAGGGGATAGATTCCTCAGATCTTCCCAAAGAGTCTTTCTTTCCATTTGATTATTAGAAGCATAGATCACAGAGAGGAGGAAGGGAGTGCTAGAACCATAGCTAACCATCCCAGCAATCATTTGGGAAGAGAAAAAGGAAGGTTGAAAGGACAACCTATCTGAACTCCATTTAATCCAGATTCTGCCCGAATTTGCACAGTGAAAGTTGTTACAACTTGCTTCCAGATCAAAAACCAAATGACTGTTAAAAAAACTCAAATCCGAGAGATTAAGAAGCTGTATTCTATTCTAAAGAATACAAATCATATCCAGTCTAAGAGACTGCACAAGCTTTTTGCAAACAGAGACCTTATTAGAGGAGGAAAAACCCCTAATATTCCAAGCAGCAATATCTGGACTGATCATTTACGCTTAGAAGAAGCGGTCGGAGGTTTTTTAGAGTTCTTTCCTTTGGAGTTTTTGGGTAGGGTAGACTTGGATTTTTTCCCACTAGAAATGGAGGTCTGCTCCGAAAAAGAATTACTTTCGTTTTCAGAGCAGGAGGGTTCTAGCTCCTCAAAATTCTGAAGATTTGCAAACTTATTAGTCATCTGAACTGAAGGTGGAGGGAAGACATTGTTTTGAGCTAATTCCGTTTCACCATTACTTTCTTCAATAGGCGAGTTGAGATTTGGAATAGGCTTACTGAGAGGAGCAGAAGAATGAGCAATAGTAGAAATAATATTATCGAAAGTTAATTCAGCCGGATATTGAGTCGGGATGGCAGAAGACGGCACACCTGTCTGAGTGTTCTCATTTAATTCCTTAGCTGGAGCAGAGTCTTTAGGAACCCAAACAACCTGGGGAGGAACCAGAGCAAGGGTAGAAGTCGAGACAGTTTGATTGTGAATCAAAGTGTTGGAAGGAGCAGTAGAAGAATCTGTAGCATTCGCATTGACAGGATTTTTACTCTGCTTCCTGGGTTGTGATTGTGAGTTATTACGAAAATTCCTTGAGGTGCTGCGACCTCTGAATTGTTTTTGAGCATTTTGCTCTGATTGCTGGGAATTGGGACAGTTCGAGGAAGCATGGGCTAAAGAGGCGCAAGTAGAGCAAGGCACCGGCTTCCATTCATATTGTATTTGCATTTTTATGACTTTCCCTTCTATAGCCACACTCACGGTGTCAGGGAAGGAGGAGCTAGTGGATACTTGTATGCAAATCCTTGCATAAGTTAACCTAGTTTTAGCAGCAGTTAAAGTGTCTACCGCAATCGGGATCCCTATTTTGGAAGCTATTTTAGAGATCCCTACAGAGTTCCAGCAAACTAATGGGAGATTATGAACTCTAACCCATATAGGCACAGAAGTAAAGTTTTCTCTAGTTGGATGAAAATCTTTGGTCCATTTTTGAAACAGGAATGGTTTCCCGTGGAAAAACCATGCCCCTTTCGACCAAACCATATCATAGTCCTCTAACAAAGAAAATTTGAAGAGGAAGAAGCCGTCTGTTAGAGCAATGAGTTGGAACGAACCTTTGAGTTTCCAAATACGATTTGCAGTATCTTTAAGTGCTTCGTAATAAGGTCTCTTACGGACCGAGTAGCCAACCAAACAGAGGTTCCATTCCGCAGAAGCTGGATCAGTAAAATCGCTGTTGAAAGGAATGATATCCTCCGGAGTTTCCATAAGCGAAACCGGAATCTGAGGAGCAGACGGACTAGGGGCAGCAATAATGTTAGACCAAAGGCGATCTAACTGACGGGATGGAGCGGCGAGGTTAGCGGGTGAGGCAGAAGCAGCGGGTGCAGAGGCGGAGGCCAAGGGTGGGAACAGGGTGGCGTCAAGGAGATCCATATTAACCACCGGCAGGTGGCCGGTGGCCAACAGGGCGGTGGAGGAAGAACAAAGCGGAAGGAAAAAAGCGGCTAGGGCATCACCACTCCTCGCTTCACCAAAACGTAAAGTACTTCTATCTTCATTCGCTTGTGCAACGCTCTATGACCCATTTCATTTGCACTTTTTAACAAAAAAAAAAAAAAACACCATGAAGGCCATTCTGAGAGCTCTGTTTGTTACGGCTCAACATCAAACCAGTAACAATGCTAATCTCACTACTCAACACAGCTATATAGGTTCTTCACGCAAGTAACACTAAGGTTTTGTTTGTTTTTTTACTAAAAAATTGCTTTGAAAAATAGTAAGAAAATCATCTCAAACGAATCATATAAAGCTTCTTTTGATACTTAAATTTGTGTTGAATTTAAATTTTGTTGAAACTTCTACAGATCTGAAAGAGAGAGCCTGTTTAATTTAAAAAGTATTTGTGGAGGAGACCTTTTATAAAGGACTGCAACGCTCTATGACCCATTTCATTTGCACTTTTTAACAAAAAAACACCATGAAGGCCATTCTGAGAGCTCTGTTTGTTATTTTTGCTTTGCTCCTTCTGCATCATCTCCTTTTGTGCTTTTCACCTGTATCTTTTTCTCTTGAAAAGAGTTTTCTACGAGAGAAAATCAAAACAAGGAAGCTGATGTTTCCTCTGGCCTCTACCTCTGCTGATTTGAAAGGGTTGGATCAATCAACCATGCAAAATCAGAAAACATTTTCTGCGAGTTTGAAAAAGGTGCCTGCAAGCAAACCGAGCCCAACACAGAATTAGATCCTGGAAGAAGAAACTGAAGCCAGATTCTTCCATTGAATTTTGTAGTGAGTTTGCTACTTTTGTTCTTCTATCTTTTATTTTGCAATCTGAGCTGATTACACAGGAGAAATGAATGTTTTTTTTATCATGGAATTGTAGAGAATGTAATTTAGATATAGGTTTCAGATGTTTATAAATTGTATTTAAAGGCTTCAAAATAGGGAACCAAACACCATCAATGCTTACCTAACTTTTTCAGAGTTTTCTTCTCATATTCACTCACTTTTAGATTATTTCACTGGTTCATTTGCAGTTTGCAATTGGAAACAAAGCATCTGTAAAAAGCTATAGTCGGCGAGATTATGGTTTCGTTTTGGATTTTTTAATAAAAAGTGAAATAAATAAGTAACATTAAATTTATCTAAAATTTACTAATAAGTTATTATTTAAAAATTAGGCAAACATTCAAATAGTGCAAATAAAAAAAAGGAAAAAAGTAAATTTAATTTAATATAATTTTTAAAATTAAGAAAAAATTTTATTTAAATTTTATTTTTTTAGAAAATTTATGCTTTCTAAGAAAAATATTATTTTATTTTTATTTTTTTTCTAAACTATTGATATCAATGAATAGAGTAAATTTTAGAAAATTCGTCCCACAAGTTAGGATAATCAGAATACAATTTGTTTCTCCCATTTTTTATAAATTGACCAAAATTTAATTAGGCTGTATACAAATCACATGATATATATATATATATATATATATAAATAACATGATATATATGTAAATCTTTAGTACATATATAGACGAGAAATTTACATTCAAATTATTTTATTTTATGCTATTAATGTACTTAATATTTAAAATATTTATATTGATTTGTAAATAATATTCAAATTATAATTAAGATACTTTCCTCTCTAGCGTGCGTTGTCCTACGGATCAGACGGCATGGTAGCCTTCATCCACATCTCTCTGCTTCCCATTCCTTCCCGCAGTCGTACCGTTACTCGCTTTTATTCATCCACTCCCGCACTCAAATCCTCAATCAGTAACCTCTCCAGCCCCCTGCTCAACGCCGACATCGTCATTTCAGGCGGTGGAACAACCGGCGGCTCATCCTCTTCTGGCGGCGGCGGCGGTGGAGGCGGAAATCATGGAAAAGACGGTTCAAGCCCTGACGACCACCATAATGACGATCCCTCTGGTCACGTCGACCCCGTCAACCTCTTCCTACAAGGATGGCGATCTAGGGTTTCCGCTGACCCTCAGTTCCTCTTCAAGCTCCTCATGGAGCAGCTCGTCGGCGTTAGCGCGTGCGTGCTTGGCGACATGGCCTGCCGACCAAACTTCGGCTTCAACGAGCTTGACTTCGTCTTCTCCACCCTCGTCGTTGGTTCCATCCTCAACTTCGTTCTCATGTATATGCTTGCCCCCACTGCAGGATCCGCCTCTTTTGCCGCATCCTCTCTTCCTAGCTACTTCTTTGAGCCCGGAAACTACTCCATTCTTTCCCGCATTGGTGCCCTGGCATATAAAGGTGCATACTTCGCTGCCGTGGGCTTCGTTGCTGGCCTCGCCGGTACCGCCATTTCCAATGGGTTGATTGCACTGCGACGGAAGATGGACCCGGAATTTGAACTGCAAAACAAACCGCCACCTACGCTGCTGAATGCAGGTACATGGGCCATTCAAATGGGTGTGAGCAGCAATTTGCGCTACCAGACGCTCAATGGTGTGGAGTTCTTGATGGCGCGAGTGCTGCCATCAGCTGGGTTCAAGGTCTTTGTGTTGGCGTTGCGTTGCTTGAATAATGTCGTTGGAGGAATGTCATTCGTGGTTCTGGCTAGGATGACGGGTTCACAGAAGGTGGAGGAAAAGGGAAAGGGGCAAGCAGGCGGTTATGGAGAGTTGCAGAGGACTGAGTCAAGTAAGTGAATCCGTATTGCTTGCTTCTGCTTTATTTTCTTTTCGTTGATGTGAAGATTGGAAAGGTTTTAGTAGGGAAGAGAGATTCCTTTTGGAAGAACTTCGTTAAGGGGAAGCCTTGATCAGGCAAAGTTTGGATTTTATTGTTCTCATTGTTTTCTGTAAATGGTTAGGAATTTGAATTGGTGGAGACTCTTTGATGCCTAAAATTAGTTATTTTGCAACTCGTATATCAGGCAATATAAAATATCAATATTCAAAGAGATTATCTGCAGAATGGAATATTAAATAATGTCTATCCAACCAAGAGTTTAAAAATTCTAACTGCTTTCTCTAAGCGAAGTTGAAATGTGTTTACTACAAAATCTGTAGTTTCTTACTTAGGATTTTACAATCAAACATACACAAATTAATGTCTAATTATTTGAATTCACTCCATTAGAATAGTCTTCAAACACAAGGAATATGCCCTGGCCTATCGATATTGCATGACTATATGTAAAGCTATTTCATTTAAGCTAAGCATAGCTTTGTCGAAAAGATTCTACTTTGACCAAAGTCACATAGGTCCCACAACATGCCAATAATAGTTTAAAGAATGTAACAAGTCTGCTATCTATAATTATATTAAAATAATAATATGGTTTAGCAATAAATAATTATCCGATTATCAACTCATTAGTGTAAAAAAGCTCAATGACATATGCCACAAAACCATGTTCAACCCTACATCAAAACTAAGCATACCATTAAGAGAGATACATCTATAAACTTGGTGTTTTTCGAGAGTTTGCATTCTAAGTTGATCACTAACATTGCCCCAATTGTTGAAGGTTTGCATTATTGTCCATCGAATTAAAAGCACATTTTTTTAAGATCACCAGTGAACTTTTGAAAAAAAAAAACTCTCGTCTTGTGTGATTTGAAAAAAAAAAATACTTTCAAATATTGGTATAAATAAATGACCCAATTTGCAAACTCGACCCAAAATCTGGGTTTGGGTTTATCCTCCAACTTGATTTTGACTCGAAAATGAACCGTTTAATATTTTCATCCTTAAATTCTTTTATTTGTCGGCATAATTTTCTTATTTTTTGATCAATTAACCTAAAATATGTGGTTAACAATTAGTTAAAATGGGTTATCGGGCCGGATTCGAGTTTGCTGGAGGGTCAGATTTGGGTCAAAGTTTTTGACCCATTTATTAAATAGTTTGGATTCAAGTTGATTGAATTTGGGTCAGACATGAACCCGACCCGTTGACCTGTTTGACACCCCTACTTTCAAAAGGTATGATATATAACCAAATATTATTTTATCATAAGGATTTATTTAGATATGGAGTCGACTTATGGTTGCAAGCTTCCTATAATCAATGACATGTTCATTTTAATATCATTTTAGACCACTTAGTTGTGACCACTAGGTACCTTGTTAGTAGTAATGTCCTATTTTATTTAAGTTGATCCCCTAAGAACTAGAAGTTATAATATTTACTAAGGATGCGACCTCTCATCGTGCCACCCCTGCTTTGTTTTATTGCTAGGTGGATAGAATGACTTAGAAGTATGTAGCATGAACATTCGTGGCGATTATTTAAAGTTGTGCATGACTATTTCAAGATCTATAAATAGGAGGTGAAGGGATAAGCTTGACACATTCTGACATATCCTGGTTGGTTCAAGTTTTTTATATCAATTTATGGTAAATCCTAGAGTTAGAACACTAGCTCTCTTTCTCCCTCTTATTTTCACTCTTGATTTTTGGTAGTAAGATTCTGGTTTCACCCTCGGACAATTGAGGATCCAAAATCAACGATCAATGCACATCTATCACTAGTCATTTTACTTGGAGTGAGAAAGGCTGACACTGCACAAGGACTAATGCTTTCTCTAATGAAGCCTTTATGTAATAAACCAACAACTAGTCTTTTCAATGTAACATTTACCATTTGATTCAATTGATAGTGCGGCAGATTTAATAAGTGAGGGCCCTCTAATGGAGTAGTTTTATCAAGAAATTCCTTGGCTCTCAAATCTTAAAACTTTTCTGAAGCGGATAGAATGCTGAAGGCAGTGTAGAAGCATCAAAGGTAATTTGAACTTCTTCAGAAAATAACATGGCTATGATATTTAATTTGTTTCTTCTGATCATGATCCTCATGATGATGTCAATTGCATTAGTGTTTGAGATGTCTCCGAAATAATCTTCCTTTTGTGTAGAAGCTGATGTGCTTGAAGATGTTTCCATAGATTTTGAAGAATGCGATCTAATTGATTGACACTTTTGTTTAAAAGCGTAAGTGTTTGCTTGACCATATTTGAGGAAATTTGCATTGTGTATACAAGGTTTATTAAAAAGATCCAACTAAATCCATAAGTAGAAGGTCATACCAAATTTTGTTCGAATAACAACCTAATTGAATTGAAACAATACATCTTATAGTGACATGATGTGATTTAAGTGTCAAGGAACATCTTTTTGGAGTGAGTTCAAAATTAACTTTCATTTATAATATCATCATAAATAACCAGCTTCCATCTCTTGTTATTGCAAGTGGCATGAGCATAGAAGATGTACTCTTTGCTTATCTACTCTTATAGAAGAATAGGCAATCATGTAGCGGACAACAACCATGTGATTCTTGGATTCATCTCTCCAAAACATGAATTGTTTTCTTTGACATCTTAATAGGGACCATTAGGCATATCTTTTATAGTATAAATATGCTCAAGATCCAAAGTTCTCAGTTGGCTAAGTTGACTCCCTTTTTCCTTCTTTTAATCAAAGTAGAGGAATAGAGTGTAGCCTTCATCCTTTTATTGCTATGTTACTCTCGGTGGTAGCGTTATTCCCATCAACCTCTTCTCATGCACCTTTACTATGAGTGGGTTCCATTGCTCTGACTTCTATCCTTTAGTGCTCTCATGTGTGCTCCATGAACATGAGGACCATGCCTTGCTATTATTGTTTGTGTGACAATGCTTGCGAGCTACCCATCTTTCTCGACAGCCGACGAAGCTTGTCTCCACATGCACTTCCTTGTATCATGATCCCAATAGTTGCTTGTCCTAACTCGCTTTCTCCCTACCCTCCCTTTCCTAACACATGCACAAAACTTAGCGCCTCGCCATGCCTCCTCACAACATTAATTTCATACACTTTGCTCTCCAGTGCATGTACCTCATTGCTCATTGCCATTAGGCATTTGCTTCCAACATTGCACACCATTGTTCCCTCGCAAACATTACATTGCATAATGATGCTCCCTTGCTCTCGCTACATGCCATTGCCCCCCTTTTGAGTGCCCTTGCACTCCTATGCGATGTCGTACACGCATTAAGGTGTATCTACATGTACACGTTTAAGTCCCCATACACGCCTTCATTGATGTGGTGAGAAGCCTTGTATGTTCATTGTTGGCCTGATATCGGGGGCACTCACCCTCTAATACACAATAGTTATATAAAATGTTTTTGCAGTTACCTCGAAATACTATGCACTTGTTTCATTGAAATTTTGCATATATTGCATTCAACTAAAAACAAAGATTACATACAAGTATAAAAGAAAAAGGCCAAGGCGGGCACTAAGTATTTTTCTATCATCCTCAAGAATAGGCAAAAACTCTTGAGGAATATAATGATTATTACAATCCTGTAAATGCCAAGTGAGTATCTATGGCCCTTTGGGCACAAAAGTGAGTTGCTTTATTGAATCTTCTATAAGTATGGACAAAAAAAGATTTTGTGAAAAAGCTTTATCCAATTGAGATTTGTACTCTCCTATGGCTGTATGTTCCACATCTCCTTTCGATTGAATTTCTACATATACTTGATGATGTTGGTATTATCTCCCTCTATAATCACTCCTTTCGATTCAAACATCCAATCTAGAAGATTTCGGTCAATATGTAACATGGCTATAAGATCAACCTGTGTGCTGTCCCAGTGAGTGATGGTCCATACAGTGGAAACAATCAATGCCCCTTAGCTATCTCGGACGACAATCCCAATCACCCCAGCATTCGATCTTAGTAGAACCCCATCAACGTTGGTTTTTAGCATTCGATCTTAGTATTGCCATGGCATGATATGCAATAGAAAATGGGCATGGTGTCTTACGCACTTAACAATGCACATTTTTCTTGTCATGTTAGGATGTCTTAGCATGGTCAAAGTATAACTTTTTATGTGGTGTGAGGTGGAGGCATTGTTGAAAATTCTGACAAATTCTTTACAAAAAAATTATGAAGAACAAAATTGCAAAATTGAGACATATAATCATACTCGAGTACTTATTCATGAATATGAAATAAAAAAACTAATTCGAATGATAATGATATTTAAAGGATACATAATAACATAAATGTGATTGTTAAAATAGCTAAAATTAACTACACAAGCTTTAAGGAACTATTTCTCATGGACAAGGAACATGACTTGGACTCAAGTTGTGGTTGAATGGAGTTCTCCTTGCCTCCTCCCAATGTAAAATATACCTAGGCCATAAATGCCCTAAATGCTCAACTATATAATATTAATGGAGCTTTCAATGAATTGAAATGAATTATCAAATTAGATGGAGCCTTCCTTCACTATTCGACAAATGGTATGTCACCTCCACCCCATCTCGGTGGCTCCCATTCAATAGATCAAATCATCTTGAGGTTATAAACTCATTATATCTTTAATAAAATTCCCTGCGAACATCGATCGCATCATGATGCACATCTTGGATTCGTTGAGTGCACATTGATGTCTGGGCACAATCAATATGATATAATTAGCCCTTCTTCAAAACTATCTCGTCTGCTCAACCAACTTTCAATGTACAATCAACTGATTCACTTGGTATTCCGACAAACAACAATAGAACACCCATCCTCGATCCTAGAGTAGTTACCAAAATCTATAACAATGAATATTACACATTGACTTGGGCGGTGTGCCCTAGGATTCAATGACGTAACATTCACCAAGATGTTTGGCTTTACAGTTAAATAAAGCCTTCAATCCTTTTTATAATGAAAATTCAGGCTTGCGTTGCCTCGTTCATGCGGCGGGCTTGTAAGAACCAATGTTGGATCTCCTCGATACAAGGACGGAAGTTCCATATGCAGGCTTTATTGAAGTAATAAGACTTAAACGTTGGATCGCCCTCACACTTTGGGTTGTAAATACTACTCAATAAGCCTCTCTCCCATTAAGAGATGTAAGCTCCACTCCTCGATCGGCTTCCATATAATAACCATTTGTATTTA